TAATTAATTTTGTTATCTTTAGTTTAAGTTTGTTATTATATATCATTAATTTAATTGTATTATAATGAAAACAGTTAATAAAAAACATAAAGAAAAAACGAAGTTCGAAACGCAGCAATTTGTGTATTCTTTTGTAGCTTGCATTTCGATGAGTTAAAATGATATTCTTATTTGATTAATATAATTTAAAACATTATCTTCAAATCGCATAAAAAACTGAACTGTAAATATTATATATATTATATTTAAACTTCCCTGTCTTTATAATAATTATATTATTATTATATTAAATGGCCTACTTAAAAATATATTATTGGGACGAAAGAGTATCAAAGTTGCAACTAAAATTATAATACTCTTGATGGATATAATAATAATTTACTTTATTAAAAAACATTAAAAATTAAAAACTTTCTTTTGTACCAAATTTAATTTAATTTAAAAATTTTCGACCAAATTTCTAATACCATGAAATGTAAAATATTAATGTAGTCTATTAAAAATCATTGAATTTTAAAAACATTCTTTGGCAATAATTTGTATTATGTCCAGTTAGTTTGTTAATTAATAATTAGTTAATGTTAATTACTCCCTTGATTAAAATTCATTAAGTCGGAAACAAGTTTTGACTAGATACATAACAGACAAATTTCCCAACATTGAATTTTTTATAGAAATTCTTTATAATCTTCTTATTGATAAATTAAACACAGCTTGTATTTTGATTTAATTTTAAATTGTTGAACTTTATTTTTGTTGGCTTACATATACATACTTCAAAATTTTTAGGCCCACATGCGAAGGAAGCGTGGGAAATTGGTTTCGACATGAATAGAATTCACCGTTTATATAAATTCATACGATCTGGCTTGCGTGTGCTGTCCATTCTCCTCCTTATATCTCCTATATCCTCATTAATCTGGTGTAATATTCACTTAACCTTAACTGGAACCGAGCGAAAGTAGAAAACATTCAATTCTTAAACATTAGCGTTAAATATTCGTTCGCCTAGGAATTCCGATATTGAAAGGGTTGGTTGTAAGAGATTTTGATCAAATAGAACATACATATACATATTAACCATATATAAATGAGGCGACTTTGAGCCGCGCCTTGGAGAAGCTTACCATAGTTACTTTCTCATGTTTCTTCTTTTTTTTTCTTTGTTTCGTGTGTTTTTAAGTTTTCTTAAGTTGTTTCTTTGTTATGTTACTTTCGTTTAACTGGTTGCTTGCATGCGTGCGTTGTGTGTGTTTATGAATAGCAGAGTGTGGGATTGTGTGTTTTGTGTGTGTTTGGGTGAAAGTGAAAATATAAGTCATGATTTTTAATCTGAAATTTGGAGCAGCTGCCTCCGGTATTGTCCGCCTTAATCCTTGCAGGTGGACGTGTCCATGGGACTGGCCGGCTGGATAAAGGCCGTGGCCGCCGAGTTGGGCGGATTGGTGGGCGTGAATGCCGACAGTGAGGAGTTGCTGCTGCTGCTGACCAAATTACCGCCGCTGGACGAATTGTTCAGGCTAATCATGTTGTTCATCAGGTTTGACGACGACGAAGAACCACTGGACGTGCCGGTCAGCTGGCCCAGCATACCGCCGCCGCCAGCCAGGAAGGTGGCACTGCCGCCGCCAGCAGGTGGCATCGATCCCAGGCTCAAGCGTTCATTCCCGCCGCCCAGATTCGAGAGGAAGCCGCCAGCGGCGTTCCCAGCTGCCACGGACGCAGACGAAGAGGATCCGGCGGGACCAATGATACCCAGCAGTGGATTCGTGGTGGTCAGCACGTTGGGTGCGGAAGTGTTTAGGCCCAGCATGGGCGTTGGCAGTGCTGGCTTGATAAAGCGCTCGCTGGCGCGACGATTCTAGCAGGATTAAAAGAAAGCCATGGTTTAGGTAAAGATCAAATTATAATCCATAATCCATACTCACCACTAACTGGCCACAGGCGTAGCAACGGTTCTGGCCCGCCGTGCCCGGGCTGAGGGGACGGCTGCTTGATGGACTGTGGGAGACGGGACTACTGATGGTGCGCTGCCGCTGGGCACTGGCCGCCGAGGCAGCGGCTGCTGCAGCTGCCGCCGCTGCGGCCGATGAACCGCCGGCCATGAGACTTTCGTTGTAGAACCGCTCCTCGTCCATCTCCAACGACGACTCCGATTCTGAGAGGTGTCGGCAGAGAGCTTCGCGGCGCTCTACCTCCTGCTTGAGTTTTCGCTGCAGACGGGCGTTCTCCTCGCGAATGGACTTCTCCTCCAGCGCATACTGCTGCATCTTGATGGTGGTCTCCTTTTGGGCGGCAGCGAGATTGGCGCGCAAACGCAGTACTTCGGAGCGCAGGTTTTGGATGTGAGCGCTTAGGCTGGTGGCAGTGTCGCCGCCATTGGCGTGGGCATTGTTTGTGATGTCGCGCGGGGTGGTCGGATCGGAGACGGGTTGATCCAGCTTGATCTGCAGCGACCGCTTTTCTGTCTCCAGCTTGTCCATGCGCTTCCACAGCTTATTCACCAGGGCCTCCTGCTCCTGCTCCAGTGTATTCTCTAGCTCCACCATTTCGCGGCGCAACTGCTCGAGGTTCGTCTGCTTGTTGTCCGTCTCCGCCTGCAGCTTCTCGATCTTGCGCATCAGCTTGTTCACGAGGCACTCCTGCTCTTGCTCGAGGGTCTGCTCTAGCTTACATTTCTCCTGGCGTAGCTGATCCAGCTTACGGGAGAGATCATTGGTCAGGCACTCCTCTTCGCGCTCGTAGTGATGCGCCAGTGTCTCCTTCTCTTTCTTCAAGGCCTGGATTTTCTTCAGCAGAGTGTTCGAGATGTACTCCTCTTCCTGCTCGGCTTTGGCTTGCTGTGGAGTTAAAGTACAAGTTAATCAACTGATCTAAAATGTGTTAGTTTATGAATGAAATATCAGATTTTCTTACAATTATGACCGAGGCCTGTTTGAGGCAGCGATTCTCCTCTTGCACCACCTTGCACTTCGTCTTGAAGGTGTCCAGCTCGGCTTTCAGAACTCTATAAACATAAAGAGTCGGGTTAGCAAGAAGAATGGGAATCTAGAAGGTATATTACTCACTTGTTTTGCTGGGTGAGTGACTCGATCCGCTTCTGGAGCTGCTCCCGAGATACTGGGCTCGGTGGCAGCATGGTTCCGCCATCCAGCGAACTCTCAGACTCACAAGGACTCTCCATGTCTGCAAAATAAAGGGTAAATGACATTTTTTAATCATATATTACAGGGAACAATGTATGCAAGTCCACAGAGTATACATATATGTATATATAATGTGTATATATGATATGTGGTGTCTGTTCTTTATTGTTTTATTCGGCGCATTCGTTGGCGAACAAAGAATAAAGAACGAAATCGAACTGTGGCGCTGTGGTTTTGGCCTTGAACAGATAGAAACGTTTAACCTTCAGTTGCGAGGTGCCTTCTTCATCTGCCACAGATGCATCTGAAGGTTTAATGCAATTTTTTCGGAAATCAATAGAAGGGCAAGGTCGGTGGCAGCAGAAGACCTGAAAACTGGCAGGCACCACCCACCCAGTGGCTCATCCTCCCAGCTGCCGCCGCTCCCCTTCTTCACTTCCTTGACTGTGTGGAAGCCGGTCGAAAATCTCGGCTGTGACTTTCCTTTCCGGATTTTCATGGTTTCACCTTTAGTTACCTGGCTTTTGTGTTGCTTCGTCGCCTTAAAAGACTTTTGCCTTCCGTCTCCTCCTCTTCACCTTCCTTCGGCTTCGCCCTGTCCCTCTCCCTCTCCCGCTGCTCCTCTCCTTCACCGACTCTGTCTTACACACTGCGTGCCAGGGCGCTGTGGCTTTTCTCGCGTTTCACGCTTTTCCCCAACGCTGCGCTGCGTGGAGGGAACCTATGCAAATCTAATGATTTCTGCGTCTGCTTAGAGCCTGCCGTCGCGTGTGCGAAGCATTTTGCGCGATCGGATCCAATAAAATTAATATCAAATTGCGAAAAATTGCTTCCACAGTGCAGAAATGTGACCGTAAATGGGGCGAAATACCGAAAAAGCGCTCGTTGAGAAACGCCGCTAGCTGCTCCTTGGCTGGTGATGACAACTAGGAAAATACTTCTAAGGATGAGAGCGTGACTAGAAGAAAAGTAACTCACTTTGGGATTCATTATTACGATATATATATACTTACCTTTGTGGACCTCTACGAAATCCTTTTAGAATATAAAAAAATATATTATATATAATATATAAAGTAATTTAAAAATCAGTTTATTGGCTGCTCATTTATGTTTAAGCGTAATATTCTATTGTCACATTATTAGTTATAAAATATTTAATTAATTAAGTGGCTAAATAATTAAGTTACTGGAAATATGGGCACCTGAAACGAGCCGTTCGGTGCTAGCTGCGCTTTTAAAATATATTTTGTCATTTAGTGACTCTGATGTTCGGCTAACAGACTGAAAAGGCAATGTGGCTACTGAGTTTTTACTGATATAGTTAAGGTGCGAAAAATGTTTATATCTTATTTTAATTTTTTTAATGTCAATATACAAAATGTTAACAAATATTTTAAAATAGAAGATATGTTCCACAATCTTGCTGACGAAATATATTGCCAATTGGTCAATTTCTCTGACTAGTGTGCTTCTATACTTTTGGTTTATATATATATAAATATATATATTAAATAATATTATAATAAAAATAGAATTTCTTATTATAAAAATAATATTTATTATTTTATTATTTTTATTATCGTATTAAATGTGTAAAACATATTCTCAATTTTTATTTGTATTTCCAATCAAAGAGAGAAGATTTAACATAATAATTTTTTAAATAATTATACAAAAAAACACGGGTCATTCCCCAAGTTAATTGTTAAATATGTATGTTTTATTAGTATAATTATGTTTTCTTATTTATTTTTTTTTTTAATTTGGATTTATTTTAAAATTCAGTATTATTACACTTCAGTATTATTCCATTATTACAAAATCCGTTGGTATATTCAAATTGTAGAAACGCGGTCACATTGTCCAACACGTGCGTAAACAGCAAAACGGTGGAAATAATTTTGATAATTTTGGCAATTTAAGAACTCTAACAATGGCCGACGATGCCGGCCAGGACAAGCGCAAGCAGCACCGCGCCCGCCAGTCCGGTGTGAAGGCGGACAAGAAGAAGGAAAAGGCCAAGAAGGACTCAAACCAAAAAGAACCGGAGTTAACAGCGCGCCAACGGAATCCCAAGGCATTTGCCATCAATTCGGCACAGCGGGCGGAAAGGAACTTTCGACGCAAGGAGGATCTTACGGCCAAGAAGCAGCACATTCCGGTGGTAGATCAAACCCCGGATGAACCGCCACCGGTGCTTATTGCCGTGGTGGGCCCGCCCAAGGTGGGTAAGACCACTCTGATCAAGAACCTCATCAAGAGCTTCACCCGCACGAATGTGACGGACATCAAGGGTCCCATCACCATAGTGACGTCGAAGAAGCGCCGGATCACGCTGCTGGAATGCAACAACGACGTAAACTCTATGATCGATGTGGCCAAGTGCGCGGATCTGGTTTTGCTTCTCTGCGACGCAAGCTATGGCTTCGAGATGGAGATATTTGAGTTCCTCAACATCTGCCAGGTGCACGGCATGCCCAAGATCATGGGCGTACTTACCCACCTGGACATGATCAAGAACCCCAAGCAGCTGCGGAAGCGCAAGAAGGAGTTGAAGCATCGCTTCTGGACGGAGGTCTACGATGGCGCCAAGCTCTTTTACCTTTCCGGCTTGCTACACGGCGAGTATTTGCGCAATGAGGTCAAAAACTTGGGAAGATTCATCTCCGTAATGAAGTTCCGGCCGTTGCAGTGGCGCGGTGCTCATAGCTATCTCCTCGTGGATCGGGTGGAGGATGTCACGAACACCGATCGTGTGCGTCGCGATCCGAAATGCGATCGTGAAGTAGTTCTGTACGGCTATGTGCGCGGTGTGGCCCTCAAACAGGAGCATATGGTGCATATCGCCGGGTTAGGCGACGCCCGCATTGATGAATTAAGCGCTATTCCCGATCCATGTCCACTGCCAGGCACCGAAAAGAAGCGAAGTCTGCTGGAGAAGGAACGCTTGCTGTATGCCCCCATGTCCGGAGTTGGTGGCATTGTTTACGACAAGGATGCAGTGTACATCGAGCTGCAGGGCTCTCACTCGCACAAGGAGCAGGAGCAGAGTGCGGAGGCTGCTGAGCAGGCGGAACTCGTCAGCAAGCTGATCGACAAGAAGGCTACCATTGACGAGCAGATGGAACAGCAGGAATTCCGTCTCTTCTCCGATGCCCAGCCCATCAAGTCGAAGGACTTCCGCAACGACATTGAGGAAGAAGAGGCGGAGGATGAAAGCAGTGACGATGATGACGACGATGAAGAGGGTGAGGATTCCGGTCTGGAAGCGGCTGGCAGTGAGGAGGAACAGGATGAGTTTGATGCGGACGATTGGCGTGGCGAAAACAGCGAGGCGGAAGAGGATGCTGAGGACTCCGATGCCGCCTCTTCTGGCGACGAGGAGTACCAAAGCCTAGGAGGCGTTAAAACAAGCAAAGAATCTGACTCGGAGGATGAGGAGGCCCGTGTTATGGCCAGCAATATGAGCTGGAAAACGAACCTTGCCCAAAAGGCACGTGATGCCTTCCTTCAGCGTCACTCGGAGTCCAAGAACTTGATGCGCCTCGTCTACGGCGTCTACAATCAGAATGAACGTAGCCGGCAGGAGGCGGAAGGTGGAGAAGACGCCGGAGACTCTGATGAGGAATTGGGTGGACTTTTCCGAGTGGCCGCTAAGAAGCAGAGCCAGCAGCAGAAGGACAGGGACATTCAGGATAAGGATGAGCGTTGCTTCTTCGAGTACCAGGGCGGTAAGTCCGTTGGTGTAATATTTTTTTGGTGTTTATAACTTAAATGTAACCTTTTCTAGATGCCACCCGCGATTGGCTATCGGAGGAGAACAAGGCCTTGATCAAGAACTGTTTCGTGACCGGCAAGTGGAAGGCCAGCGAGGATGCCGAGAATCTGCTCAAGATGGATGACATGAGTGATGCGGACAGCGAGGTTTACGGTGATTTTGAGGACCTGGAGACAGGGGAGCAGCACAGCGGCAAACCCAAGGCAGAAGGCGAAGGAGAATCCGAGGAGGAGGGTGCGAAGCCAGGGGGAACTGCAGGAGCTACCAAGCGTAAAATGACTCGTGTGGAAGAAGAGAACCTCACAAAGGCCGAGCTTATGGCAAAGAAGCTCAAGCTTAAGGCCAAATTCGATGCGGAATACGATAACAGTGGCGAAGGCAAGGGAGAAGATGACAATGGTCGTATCACCGGAGATCATTCCTTCTACGAGGACCTTAAAGCAGAAGCTCAGCGTCAGAGTGAGTTAAACAAAAGCGAGTTTGCCCATTTGGACAACGAGTTTCGTATCCAGATCGAGGGCTATCGGCCGGGGCTTTATGTGCGCCTGGGATTTAAGCAGCTGCCCGCGGAGTTTGTGGAGAATTTTGATGCCAGCTATCCTGTGCTGGTCGGTGCCTTAAACATGACCGAGGAGAATGTGGGCTATGTCAACTGCAAGGTAAAGAAACATCGCTGGTACAAAAAGATCCTAAAAACGGGCGATCCCCTCATCGTTTCGATGGGCTGGCGACGCTTCCAAACGGTGGCCATCTTCGCCAAGGTGGAAGACAACTTCCGGCAGCGCTACCTCAAGTACACGCCCAACCACGTTACCTGCAGCATGACCTTCTGGGGTCCAATCACTCCTCAGAATACGGGCTTTCTAGCTCTACAGACGGTTCGCCAGGATCAGGAGGAGATGCAAAGGCTGGGCTTCCGCATAGCGGCCACGGGCTGCGTCACCGAACTTGACAAATCCTCGCAGATCATGAAGAAGCTTAAGTTGGTGGGGCATCCCTTTAAAATCTACAAGAAGACCGCCTTCATAAAGGACATGTTCAACTCGTCGCTGGAAGTGGCCAAGTTCGAGGGAGCCAAGATAAAGACTGTGTCTGGCATCCGCGGCCAGATCAAGAAGTCTCACCACACGCCCGAGGGCTCCTATCGAGCCACCTTTGAGGACAAGATCCTGCTCAGCGACATCGTCTTCTGCCGCACCTGGTTCCGTGTGGAAGTTCCTCGATTCTATGCACCCATAACCTCGCTCCTCCTGCCGCCCGACCAGAAGAGCCAGTGGCAGGGCATGAAGACGCTGGGCCAGCTGAAGCGGGAGCGGGCCATGCAGAATGCCGCCCAGCCAGACAGCATGTACACGGAGATTGTGCGCAAGGAGAAAATCTTCCGGCCGCTGACCATACCCAAGGCCCTGCAGCGGGCACTGCCCTACAAGGACAAGCCCAAGCTGCGTGCCGAGAATCCCAAGGCGGCACTTGAACGGGTGGCTGTGATTAACTCGCCTTACGAACAGAAGGTGGCCAAGATGATGAAGATGATCACGACGAACTTCAGGGATAAACGCCATCGCGAACGCCTGGAGACGAAGAAGCGGATCAAGAACTATCGAGAGAAAAAGAGCGAGAAGATGGCCTCCAAGGAGCGGCGTCAGAAGGAGCTGCGGAAGAAGGTCTCGCGGGCCATCAGCAAAATGCGAGGGAAGCAGTCTGCCTAGGATTTTGTTGTGTTTTCAGAGCAGGTGAGACCCCTGAAAGGTTTTTACTGAATGCTTCTTGGATAATTTGATGTATAAAAAATAGGTATAAATAAAATAAATACATTTTAAATTTCAGAAATGAAGAAACTTTCCCAAAACCCAAATAACAGCTGAAACTTGGTTACATTTCAAATAGAATTTACTCAACGCCTGCACTTCCGACGCTGGACCAGCTACAAAAATCGATGGTATAGCGTTCCGGCACCGTTCGCTGCAGCTGCTCCAGCAGAGCCGGAAGAGCCGGTCTCAGTTTTTGGAAAATATATATATAACGCAACATAGCTTAGGGACTAACTTGAACTGGACATTATTGTGGGAACTAACTTAGTGTGCTGCCCTAGTCCTGGCTCTTGTTGTCGTCGATCGTCTTTAGAGCGGCCAAAAGCGCATGCTTCCGACTGCCGGTCATGTGACTGCTTGCAGCCGCTCCGCTGGCAATGCTGTTCCGCTTCTTGGACGCCGGATCGTCGCGCATATTGCTGTTACTTGCCTGGCGACAGAACGTCTTCAGGAAGCTCTCGCGCTCCTTGTAGTCATCGGAGATCTGCTTGCGCAGGCTGGACATGTTCTCCTTAAGACGTGGAGCACGAACGCCGTTGTCCTGGGACTGCAAAGGAATAAAGAAGAAACGGAAATTGTAAGTGTACATTATAAGGCATTTCCAAGGAGTCTCTAGGACTTTACCTCTTCATCGCTGCGCTGCGTGTTCTGGCCGTCCGTCTCCTCGTCCTCTTCCTGTGACTCTTCCTGCAGATCGCCCTCGCTGCTCTTGGTGTCCAAGTAGGCTGCATATTTTACCAGAGTGGCATCGTTGGCATCGCTGTTCTCCTCGGGATCATCTGATCCCTGATCGCACATCTTGGACATAAGGCCGTAGGCATCCGTTTCGTCTTCATCAGCGCCGGCAGGCTCGTAATCATCCTCGTAGTCGTACTCCAGGGACTTTAGCGACGTCTGCTTGGACTTTCCCTCGGTGGAAGATATCTTAGACAGGCTAGCCGAATCACGACGCTTGCTGGGCGGAATACTCTCCGTCTTGACAGCAGTAACTACACGTTGTCTGGCATTGCCACTCTTTCCAGAGGCGGCGGCGGCCAGTGGCGTTTTTCCCTGCGCCGAGAGCACTTGGCTCAGGGTAGAACGGCTCTGGTTTGGGGCCACTTTGGCCTTATTGTTGGCCGGTGGTAAGATGAGCTTTCCGCTACGTCCACCAGCCGTCTGTCGCTCCGGCTGCGGGGTCGGCGGAGTGCATGGACCGCTCTTGTCCTCTGCCTCATCCTTCTCGAAGTCAAAGTACGTGTCCGACTCCAGCACATCCGTTAAGGCGTTGAACTCCATCTGGCTGTTCTTCTCGATTGCCTTGTCCAGCATCTCCAGGGACTTCTCCAGCTTGTCTATCTTGTCCGGCTCCTCGTTTACGCCGCTGAGCTTGGTGCGGCGACCGGAGGATAAGGGATTCACCTTCTCGGTGCCGAGCTATCACGGGATAAGGTTCCCTATTTAGTCCCTGATCAACTTATGGTTTCATTTCTACTCACAGAGTATTCCTCTAGCTTGCGATAGCCACTGATTTCGAGCTTGGACTTTTCCAGCTTCAGCATCACCTCCTTGCATTTCTTCTGCTCGTTGAGAAGCTGCTGGCGGAAGTTTTTGGACTCCAGCTGCACCTTACGAGCCATCAGCTTCATGTCATTGTCCTTGTCCTCCAGACGCTGCTCCAGGGATCGTAGCTTCTCCTGCAGCTTCTGGCGTTCGTCAAGGTTTCTGGCAAAATCACAGATAGAAAATCGGTTTAGTAGAGCTTTTAAACAAAATTAAATTGAATATGGATACGTTTAAAATATATTATTTAATAAATTAAATAAGATTAGATTAAAAAATACATACTTATCCTTGTTGAGCTGACTGTAGTGCTTGTTCTGATCGCTCAGCGACAGGATAATGGCCTCCTTTTGCTTGAGCTTCTGCTCCAAATCCTTGTTGACCGCCTGAAGATTGCGGTACTTGGTCTGCCAGACACGCAGCTCCTCGGCGTGCGAGTGCAGCAACTGTGGCAGCTCCGCATTGTTGGACTCGTACTTGTTCAGCGCCGACGACTGACGGTTGTGGAGCGTGCGAAGCATCCGGTTTTCGTGCGCCAAATTAGCTATTTCCGCCTGGGCATCGGCCAGTTGGTTCTGGAAGGTCTTGGCCCGCAGATTCCTCGCGGACATGACACGCTGATGGATCTCACTGTGATTCTGTGCCGAGGACACTATTGTTGGCTGCCGGAGGCTGCCGTTGCTGGAACCCTTCATGCCACTGCGATGCTGTGGCGGCGGCTGCTTCCGTTGATAAATCAAACTGGCCGATTCCCGGGAGCTGGCCGAAAACAGGCTCTCACAGCTTTTGGCCGATGTTCTGTGATGGGGTAGTTGGAGGAAAAATAAAGACTGGGTTTTAGAGGTTGGCTCCCTGAATTGGAGGAGGAGGGTCCTCTACACTCACGCCATCTGACTTTTTTGACTCAAGCGAGGTATTGCCGAGCTAATGGACGTTGCCGGCTTGCGCGGCGATACCATCTAAGATCCGGCTCGTGGTCCGGAAGATTTAAGGATTGCTCCACGAAGGCTATTAAATTTTTCAGAACCAGAAGGGGATGGTTAGAGTGTAAGGTAGAGCAAAACGGGAGAGCTAGCCGGTGCGAGGTGATGCCGATATTAAAATGTTACTGAAAAGCCAGTGTCTGCTGCTGCTGTGGTTACCACGTTTGATGTTTGTTTATTGTTTGCTCCGCCGCCTGCTACGTTGTTGGGGTTAAGTTTTGACTCCAATCCTGGGTCCGGGACCAGTAACTGGTTGCCATGGCGCCGTCGATAGCTCCGACTATCGAATGGGGGAGTCGTGTTCTAAGGGAAAGCCCTCTAAAAGGTGTTTATAGGTTTCAAAAGTAGTTATAAAACGGGTTCCTAAATAGTTTTAAGTGATATTAAGTTGGTTTGAATTTTAATAGTTACAAAAGTCTTCACGTTCCAATGGTATCTCCTGAATATAAAGCTCCAAACTCAACAATAATGTGTAAATATTGGTTTGCTTGCAAGTTTTTATTATCTATGCATTTAAGATTAATAGGAAATGTTGTTTAAAAACATTTAACATTTAACATTATCTGAAAATTATTTTAGAACAGTAATAAATATGGATTATTATCAAGTTGAAAGTAGTCTTAACTTTCTTTAGTGCATAAATAAGTAAGTAAAAGATAAGTTACAATTAAGCTTGCTCAACAACAGTGGCCTTCATCTTCTGGTATTTAATGCGATAGGTTCCCTCCGGATCGTAGATCTTCTCCAGTCGCTCCCAGTCCAACGGACGATTGTCAATGAGATGGTTTGTTACCTTCTCAGCTCCCAAACGCTGCTTCTCTGTACATTTGGTGCATTCGGTCATAATGGCATCGGGTAGGATTTCTAAAATACAACTTTGTTACATTTTTTAAATTTAAACTTTTCCGTGAAACTTACCCTTTAGCATCCTGCCATCGGGAGTGCAGGGTCCAGTGCCTTCCAAACATTTGATATAGTTGTTAAGCAGACGTTCCTGGTTCAGGATCTCATCCAGGTCCACGTTGTCAAACTTGTTGTCGTAGGGCGCTTCTACCATCGGCGCTGATGAGGTGGCCGGGGGATGAGGCAATCCTTCCACGCGGTAGAGCACCGTGCACATCAGTGCCAAGGATAAAGACGCATTCCACATGGCCAAACGGAGGCTGGAGCGTCCCATTTTCAAGTATGATCGTATGCTGTTAATACCTTTATTCACCTGGGCTTTTATAGGTGAATTTACCAACCTGCGTGCTTCAGTCCAATTTGTCTAATGCCCAATTGGACTTAAATTAAGACAATTTAATTTGATTACCAGAAAGGCCCATGGGGTTAGCAAGCAAACGCATTCGCAACAGAGTCGATTTTATTCCCTTTTTAGTTTTTTTGTCAACAAGGTTTTTTAAACAAGTTAAAAATGAGCTTCCTATACTAAAATAAATGCGAAAACTATTAAAAAGAAAAAGTTATATCATATGTTATATATTACTGTGCTATTTGTTTAACTTAAAGAATATATGCTGAAGGATCAGCAATAGATACTGATGAGCAAATTCGGACACTTTTTATCTCTCAAATTACTAATGTTAAATTGTAGAATTCACCTACCTGAAAACATTAGAAAAATTAACTTATTTTGTTGTGCTTCAATACCAATATTTATATATAATTTGTTTACTTCTACTTTTGTATTTATCGGGGAATTACTTTTTTCAAAATAATGGCGCCTTCTTAGTTAATGTTACCATATTATTCGGCATGGCAGCCCCGTTAGCCCGGTATCTGCTAGTCGCACTTTCAGAACAAGTTGGCAGTTCGCGTGATGCTGAGGCGCTTTCTTTTTCAATGAGTTTTCTTTAATTGCTCCATTTACGCAAGCAACCAAAATCGATGCAATTGCCCACATCCGGAAGCATTGCGGCATAGGCAACGCGTCTGCCACCCAGTGACTGCCCGTAGATTGGGTAACCGTGCGGGAAATGCCAAAAGGCGACCATCTGTGCGGCGATCTCGATTTCTCGAACGTTTCGCGACGTGGGCGCCCCCGCCCCCAAGACCAAGGACGACCTAGAAACGCCCAGACAGCACCGAGAATCTAGCACAGGTGACATCAGTCCGGGAGAAGCACATCACCATGATCCACGTCGGGGAGAACTCGTGGAATCTCCGGATCTTCATCACGGATCTGGCGCTGGAGCGGACGATGCGCGTGCGCGGTGACCAGCACATCGGTGGAATTATGCTGCAGCTGGTGGATCCGGAGAATCCCAAGGACTGGTCCGACCATGCGCTGTGGTGGCCAGCGAGGAACGTTTGGCTAAACAGGACGCGCCTAACGCTGGACCAGTATGGTGTCCAGGCCGACAGCCTGCTGCACTTTACGCCCATGCACAAGATACTGCGAGTGCAGTTGCCGGATCTGCGGTACCTGGATTGTCGCGTGGATTACTCTGTGAAGACCTTCGCGGCCGTGGTGAATCTGTGCAAGCAGCTGGACATTCGCTATCCGGAGGAGTTGTCGCTGTGCAAGCCGCTGGAGGCGGAGCATTTGAAGCGGAATTTTGCCCAGCTGCCGCACCAGAAGCGCGTGGCCATCGCAGAGCCAGATGGCACCAGCTATTTGCAGCCGGCGCCAGATACCAACTCGTTTGTGCCCATTAGCACCGCCTTTCACGGTGAAGGCGGCGGTAGCACTGGCAGCCTGGACAAGCCCTCGGCGCCGGGATCCTTTTTCTGCGCTCCGCTGTCGCCGCACAATCACAGCAGGGGACGCTCACCCATGCCCGCGGCTTCGCCATCGCCGGGAACGTGGAAGCAGAGTCAATTAGGTTACGCCACCTACGACTCATCGTCATCGAGCTTGGGTGACTTCCAGGAGAATCTGGCTAGCTCGCCGCCCACGCCATGCTCGGATGTCCGGGCGCAGCAGCTGCGCCCCAAGTCGCTGGTGGAGAAGGCGCGCTTGAATGTCGGCTGGCTGGACTCTTCGCTGTCCATCATGGAGCAGGGCATTCGGGAGTACGACACGCTCTGCCTGCGCTTCAAGTACTTTACCTTCTTCGACCTAAATCCCCGGTGCGACCAGGTGCGCATCAACCAGCTGTACGAGCAGGCCAAGTGGAGCGTCCTCAACGAGGAGCTGGAATGCACCGAGGAGGAGAGTCTGATGTTCGCCGCCTTGCAGTTCCAGGTCAACCATTATGTGGACTCGACGCCCACGAGCAGTGGAGCCGTTGATTCGGGCATTGAAACGTCCAGCCAGGAGAACGACAACGACGACGAGATCGATTCGGCGCTGAAGGAGCTTCAGATCACTCTGGAGGGACCAAACGGCGGAGATTCGGTGAACATCACGCGCATTCCGGAGCTCTCCGACTACTTGCGCTACTTGAAGCCACAAAGGTTCACGTTGCGTGGATACAAGCGCTACTACTTCACCTACCGGGATCTGCACTTGCACCTGTTCAAGAACGCCGAGGAGTCGCGGCGGATGGCTCCGGTTGTCAGCATCAATCTGAAGGGTTGTGAGGTCACCCCCGATGTAAACCTGTCGCAGGGAAAGTACGCAATCCGACTGGAGGTCTCGCCGGAGGGCGGCCACGGAACCAACAGCGAGGTTTGGATACGCTGCGAGAACGAACAGCAGTACGCCAAGTGGATGGCCGCCTGTCGATTGGCGGCCAAGGGAAGATCCCTGGCGGATAGCTCGTACGAGAGTGAAGTCGATGGGATCCTGTCACTGCTGCAGATGCAGCGACCTGTGCATGGAGTTCACCTGAGTATTGACCCACGGTCCGTGGAGGCCGGAGATTATATATCGCCCAAGACCCTGCGCCGGCTCTCCAACAAGGCGGTGCAGCGCATCCTGGAGGCACATGCCAATGTCCGAGAGCTGAATCCCTTGGACTCCAAACTGAAGTACATCCAGGCCTGGCAGTCCCTGCCCGATTTTGGCGTAACACTGTTCATCATTAAGTTCGATGGGCACCGTAAGGAAGAGCTGCTGGGCGTGGCCCACAATCGGATCATGCGAATGGACCTGGGCTCCGGGGATCACATCAAGACCTGGCGGTATAACACAATGAAGGCCTGGAATGTTAACTGGAACATTAAGTGCATGATGATCCAGTTTGAGGACGAGAACGTGGTATTCTCGTGCCATTCGGCTGACTGCAAGGTGGTGCACGAGTTTATCGGCGGCTACATTTTCATGTCGATGCGATCCAAGGACAACAACCAGGTCCTCAACGAGGAACTCTTCCACAAGCTGACGGGTGGTTGGTCGTAGTAGCTGTTTTGTTCGAATTTTATCGTTTCATCTACTTGTTCATTTGAATTTTGTAAGGATGAAACCAATGTTTTATATATATATATATTGTTGACCTGACCAGTGGCCTCGAACCGCGCTAACCAACTGATAGACTCACAACTTCAATGCAATATAGTGTTTTCACGTTCAGCCTACCACTTAATTCGTTGTAAACTAATCTTGTTGATGATTTTTAACAGCGAAAATCGCTTGCCAAAGGCCTTTTTGCCTGCCTAACTCTAAAACAGACTTAACCGTGGCCTTTGCAATGTTTATGTATGACTAACTTTTAAGGATACAATGAATAAATATGCCTTACAATATCAGCAACGTTTTCATTGATCACGGATCTGAAAAGAACCTATAACCTTACGTATCTTAAAGATTTTTTGGGGATGATCAATATACTTTATTTGTTAGTAATTGTGATTATTATTATTAGTGAAATTGTTGCTTTACTTCAATGTGCGTTCACAAATGTAGTTCTGTTTATGTGTGCAATCTAAATCGTTCATCAGACGAGAAGGACCATGTCCAAAGTTGTCACAATGTTCTATTCCACCATAATTGTTGGGCTCATTGGGATGCCAAAGCTCTGATGCAACTGGCTTCCCACTTGGGAACCAAACGTGATCTGGAGTAAGTAAATCGTTTCCAGAAGTCCAGTAAATGTTTTTATCTCTTTGACTGTCCAGGTAAGTTTTGATGGCTTCGACTTTTTCTGTAGTATCCAGTGATATCAAGTTGTAACCCATTCCTTCGCAGAATTTACGGGCTCCAAACCAATGCATTGGTACTTTATTCTCAATAAAATACAGGGTATTGCCTAAAAGAACCTGGCTAGCGGGTGCTATATTCACAAATTTGGGAGAAACTACAGAGATACAAAAATTAAACAAGTAGAACTTTAGGTAAATAATGATCGAGGAAGGATTTTACCATCTGGTGCTTCGCTCCCTGCTGATATATAAATCAGTCCCAGGATGACCGAGAGTATTCCACACTGTGTTAGCATTTTGTAAATAATGCTTTAACTTCTCTTTAAGTTGTTGCTTTTATACCTTAGTCTAATCACGAGGTATAGTATACTATAGTATTGTATATATCACCTTATCTGGTGATAGCCCTATTATAAGAGATTTTATTGTCATGTTAACCCTTAGTTGATAAGTTATAAATTATTATTTACGGTACCTTATCAATCTTGATTGTAATATCTGTTTGATTTAATTTGAACTCGTCGCAAAATTATATTTTCTTCCTATTTTTAGATGCAGCTGGATTTGTGACCTATACTCTTATTCCTTTTAATAAAATAAATCTCTTAGATGGACGAGACAAATTAGAGTGTAAGCTTTTCTAGAATGTACGCTTTCTAACTAGTTTCTTTTTGATCTTAAAACCATCTAGCTTTGAACACAAATCCTTGTTCTGTATGAAAGGTTCTCATCGAAATTAGGGACTAAAATCGATCAGATTCATGCAATCAAAATCTACTTAGACTTAAGTTTAGTGTCACACCCCCATTCAAAACTCCACATACTCGAAAAAAACATATAAAAAAAACCACAACAATATAAAACACACAAAAAAACACTGACAAATGGCTGCGAAACGACCCCGCGATGCGGACTTCTTCAAGCACAAGAAGGTACTGCGGGTCCGTTTCAAGAAACTGGTCCGCGCGGTCATTTTGAACCAGGCATGGCTCTCCTACTCCGAGGAGCAGGGCATCTCCATGAATGTCAAAAAGAACGTGGCCTTATTTCGGCAAAAGCGTAAGCCGGGCATGCTGACCATGGCCGTAAGCCGGAATCTATGTACCAACAGTATCAGAAGCCATTATTCAAACATTGAATGTTTCAGGAGAAGGCTTTAATGCGATCAAATCCCCAATCAAGGACCATCGAGGATCGTAAGAAACTTTGCCTGCTTATAGCAGGGTTGGATTGCTTTTCCAGAATTCCGCCGGTAAAAGGTTTCGCGTTTTATTTTTCTCTCTGAAAGTAACCTCTACTTGGCTTCAATTTTTAGAAAATTCGGGCTCGCATGACTCCGGTCCTTGAGTTTATGTACATCAATGAATCGCGGGTGATTATTTTGGAGGGAGACATGCCCATTACCGTCTATTTTATACTGAACGGCGAGGTCGAAATGAAAAAGAACGTTTACAATAAGGCAAGTGTTTCCATATTGACAATTATTTGAGGCTCCAAGAAAGAAAGGTAATATAATTATATATTTATTTTTAAGACTACAAAAGAGTGGACTGAAGTGGCAGAGGCAATATTCGGTCCTGGTGACTGTTTCGGAGATGTCGAGATGACTGAGGCTTGTCCTAGAATGAACACCTATACAGCATCGTGTAAGAAACTACTATGATTAAAACTTTAAACTTGGAAAAACTTTGGACTTCATAAAAATAGTCCAGAACAAACAAGGTGCCAAGCTGCAAGCTTAGGCAAAAATATATCTGGATTGTAATAGATTTCTCAAATAGTTTTTAATGAATATTGATTTAAGCACTTTCCAGGTCTATTAATTAAACTACATATTTAAAATTGTATTCAAAATGATTTAGTTTAACAATTATTTCATTAATTTTTAGCTGGCTGCGAATTGCTTGCAATCAACGAATTGGATTATGATCGCATTTTAAAGCCCTTTATGTTGAAGCAATGGAACGAAAAAAAGATGGCATTGAAGGCCTTCGATTACTTTAATTTTTTACCCCAGAACAGGTGTGTCTCTCTGTAACAGCAAGTCCCTAATTACATAATAGATTCTTAGATCATTCTCGCCTGCAAGTATGGCTTTCTGGCCCAGTACGAACCGTTGGACACCATTTACTTGGGCGAAACCGGCTCCCTGAGCTACGCGAACTTTGTTCTGAGTGGCGAGTGCGTCATTTTGCAGTGCCTGAGCATGAAAGTAGAGTATATCATAAATAATATATATATATTAATATAAATATTTTGAAATTCTTTAAGGTAGCCAAAAAGGACGGGCAACCAACATTTGAGCTGACTCCCATCGACGCGGACACGGATGCGTTATCCATGTTTAAGTCGATGGACATAAACAGCCGCCTGAATTTTCCGAACATAGCGGACCTTTTGGCCTCGTCATCCTCCTCCTCCTCCGATCAGAGTGCCGGCAAGAAAAAGAAAAAGACGGTATAAGTGTTATTCTACTCTGTTTCCTATTAACTCCAATTCATATTTCCGGCCAAACAGATGCGCAATATGAATCTGCAAGATATAGAAAAGTTCTGTGGAATTGGTAATGCAGCGCATAAGCGAAAGGCACGGGAGAAGCGACCATTAACTGCAGCTGCGCAGGCCAGGAAAACGATGAGGATAGAGATCCTGCGAAGGGGCACACCATTCGATCTAAGTCTTCAGACCAGAGATGAGAATTCCGAGGAGGAAGAGCAGGACCCCGATTTCTATGATGACGAGGATATGTCCGATTTAGACTCCAGTATCTCCTCGTACGAACTGGTCATCGAGCCAAATTTGGTGCAACTCCAGTTGGGCCGTGTCGAAAGTGAAGACTTACCGAAAAGAAAGTCAAGTGCTTCTTCAGAAATTTTCAGTGCTACGTCCGTGAACATTGAGGAAATTCATAGCATTGAGTCAGCACATTCTGTAAGTTCTGGGCCATGACATTACAATTTAAAGACTAAACCAGTTTTTAATACAAGGTTCACAAGGATCCTATCGAGACCCACTTCATAGACGTGGGCTCCCTATCATATGGCAGTATCTTTGGTCTGGGCGAGAAAATGGAACATCGCGTGATCATGGCGCGGACTGTAGTACAGTGTCTACTCCTGCCGCGCTACTGGCTGCTAAAGGAGGAGCAGAACCCGGGCAATGTATGGAACCGTCGCCGGTTCTACTTTGAATGCAATATACCGTCACGCCAGGATCTGTTCACCAACTTCCTAAAGACACGGAAATGGAATAAGTTCCGGCACGACTATATCCAGAGTCTGCTAAACGATAAGACGACGGCCCAGGTCTCCAAGGAGGAAGATATACCGATTATGTGTCGCATTGTAGAGACTAGCGATGATACCATATAGTGATTGCTCCAGTAACTCCTAATTCCAAGTATCTTCAAGAATGTTCAGTAAGAGAATATGTAAACTATAAATTCGAACGGTTAACTAGAAAAAACGATGTTTATAAACTATACAAAATATATATTTCCCTTCTGACAAGATTATTAGATTGATTTATTTTTTGTATACATACATACATATATAAGGTGCAGGAGAGAAAAAGAAACAGTATATATAGGTGTTACACGGCGTATGAGTGATTTAATTTAAAGCCATTTCATCCTATGGTACAGACAGATTGACAGTTTTTTAGGTAAAATTTAAATTAAATAAAGTTTAATAGCTTTACAATATTATCTTCTTTTAAAGTGAATGTTTTTGATTAAACTAAAACATCGTTTTTATATACATTTAATTGATAAGTTATTCCAATTTATTCACATCTTATACGCTATTTTCGAAATAAATACTCCTTGTTTAGTTAAGAGCACGTTCACAAATATAGTATAGAAAATGATAAGTAGGCTTTTAAAACAAAAACGAATAATAAATGTTGAAAGGTTTATATTTTTTGGTCATTATTATTAACAAGCGATGGTGTTTAAATATTAATTTATGGGCTGTGGAATTATAAATCACCAATAAGTGCGTAAAAAGATTAAGACAGTAATTAATTAAAGCTATGCTATTGATACAATTTCAAAGAAAAAGCGTACCTTATCAGACACAATTAATTGGAAAGCAAGAGATAGCATTGTTTTAATACCGAATAGTAAAGTTAGATATTTCGAACAGATACATGATACTTTAGTTGAATAGACGGTATTGAAAATTCGGGACCTATAAAACGGACCAAATTCTATAGTTTTTATAGAGTAACTTTTATCTGATAGATAGCTATATTTTAATGTTTTGGAGGAGATATACTTTTGCCTTATACGAAATGGTTACCCGGTGTAAACATTACTCTTTTTAGATAATTGCAAAGGTTTATAGATTTGAAAGATATTAAATCTTTTCAACGAATAAATATAATTTCTCCATTTTTATTTAAAAAAAATTAACCGAATCAATACAGATTACGTTCACATATGTAGTACCTAGTAATTGTACAATCCTTATCATTCATTAGTCTAGTTTTACCAGATCTGAATACGACGCAATGTTCGATTCCATTGTCGTTGCTGGGCGCGCCAGGATACCAATAGTTCAATTCAATTGGCTGTCCACTTGGGAACCAAACGTGATGACCTAAAGTTAGAAAATCATTTCCAGAAGTCCAGTAGGAGTCTATATCCATTTGATTGTCCAGGAAGTTATTGATTGCATTGAATTTTTCTTGGGTTTCAAGCGAAATTAAATTGTAGCCAATATTTTCACAGGATTTACGGGCGTCAAACCAGTTCTTCCCTATTCTCTCAATGTAATACAATGTATTGCCGAGTAATATCTGGCTAGCAGGGGCTTTATTCACTTAAGGGAAATCAAAAGTTAAAAAATTATTTAAGAACGTAATATTCGAAGATAGCTCCTTACCATTAGGTGCTTCACTCGCCGAAGAAAAATAAAACAGACAAATCAGGGCCAAGGTGACCAAAGGTTTACCGCTCTGCTTAAGCATTTTGGCAATACTGTTTCGGTCCTTCTTCAAATAATCCGCTTCAATACCTTAGCGAACTTATATCACCTGTAGACAAGCGGAAAGAAGCGAAAAAAATTTGATTAAAATATTTGATTAAAATTTTACCGACTTATTCATTATCCAACTGATAACTTTCATTGCTTATATATACATATGTGTGAGGGAATATTATGCATACTAAAAGATAACTTGTAATATTTGTACGAAAATATTCCTATTTTTATTTCCAGACCTGCGTTTTAGCTTCATTATTTTAGCATACACATATGTTCTAAAACTAGAAGCCTCATATAGTATAATAACAAAAAATATTGAGAGCCAATCCTATGCATAAGTTTTACGGAAAATTTATAATATATCGTCAAATTTAAGCTTAATTCGATTGCTTTTATTGTAGACGAGTCAGTTTTATTGTAAACAGCAAGGTGTCACAAAGTAAGATTTCTTTCCTGTTTTCTTTTTTAATTTTAAGCTTATTTTTTAACTTTGGCGCCACCGTGTGCAGTGTGGCCACACTAGCTTAGCACTTATCGATTAATTCTATTGACATTGCAGCCGTGCAACCACATATTGGCGCCGGCTTCGTTGTCATGGAAACAAAAGTTTGATTTTAATACTCCATTTCAAGACTATAACTAAATTTTCGTCTCTTTTACGTGTTGACTGACTGTTATTTTCGTGTCCTTAATGTGACCCAATAGGTGGAAGGCCAGGGAAATGGATAAACCAGAGGAACAGGGACAAATATTGCGGACGGCGTACGAAGTGCAACGGGACTTTGGCTACAGCAGCGGACTACGTTCCGAGATTATTTGGGATTCGTATGTTATGCAATTGTTTCCTGTCACCTTAACTGTAATGCCTACTTATCCACAGATTAACTCCCGACCAGGCGCCAGTGCTGATGCAGAAAATCGAGAACCTAATCCCGGAGGACGACTCTCGGAACGCAAAGTCTGTGAATCGCCAGCGGCAGCAGCTTTTTCGCAATGTCTGGCAGCAAAGGCGCTTTACCAACGGCACCCTGCTGTCCGCCATTATCTACGTGCTGGTCACGCCGGAGACGGACCCGGAACTGGCCCTGCAGACCACAAACTACAGCTGCCATCCCGTTTTCCGGACGCGCCGCTGCATGAAGGGCGAGAATAGTGCCGCCTGTTGCATGATCTTCGTGGACGAACACGGACGCGTGTACTCCAACTGGCAGCAGTATGTGTTCCGCAATACCCTGTCCAGAGGCACAATGATTGCTCCCAGCCAGGGCATATACACCTTCACCAACGACGATGTTGAGCCGGGCGTCCAGTTAATGGTGCACCCCACGCCAGCGTCGTATAGTCGAAATCGCTTGCTAAGTGCCGGCGATAAGGTGGCCACTGTGGGCGGCCTGATGGCCACTGTTCCAGTGGCAGCTGCTTTGGCAGTGCCCGTTGCAGCTCCCCTCACAATTGCCGCAACCGCTGTGGGTGTGGCCACTGCCGCCTACAGCACACTACGCTCGGCATCACAACTCATCGATCGGCGGCGACATGGACAAACCACGTGCATCACGGACAGTGAGGCTCGAAGCTCCTGGCTGGGCGTGGCGGGCGGCGTTGTTGGATTGGGTGCCACGGGAGCAACAAAAGCCCTGGCCTCGGTGGCAGGAGCGGGCTACAGCATCAATCCCGCAGCTCAGTTGGCCGTCAAAGGTATTAATGTAGGCTCTGTGGTTATTTCCGGCACGGGTGTTATCAATGGTGTCTACGATATGTATTTGGTAAGGTTTATACTATATAATAAGTTAGTAATCTGTTTACCTTAATGGGTTTTTTCAATTTTCCTTTAGAAAATTGGTGACGATCAGGCCATCAATAGCTTGGATATGCTGCAGATGGCCTCACACTTGGTGATCTTCACACATTCCATTAATAATTTCCGCATAGCTTCAAAGGCGACTAATGGTTCCACCCTTAGACAAGCACTGCGCAATCAATCTCGGTATAATAATTGGAAATGGTTATTATTTAAATCAACTTAATATTTTTCTCCATGTTGCAGAAAGGTGTTTGATCGCATCGCGCAGGAGTCCACCAAGCTCCACAGCAGACAGGGAGGAAAATTCGATATTGTGCGTACCCTGAACGACATACCCTTCAAGGAGACGCTGCTCAGCCTGCACAACCTCAACTCGCACCTGAATCAAGGAGTGGCGGCGGTCACAACTCTGCTGCCTCAGATAATTAGTCTCGGCAGTGGTGGCCAGCTGGATCTGGATGCGCTGGCGCAACAGTTTGGTCGGAAGTTCGTGCAGCACATTGGCAATGTATCCAGCCTAAAGGATGTCGTGGAGGCAATGGCCAGGTATTTCAGCGATAAGGCCGTACAGTTACTTATGCAAATGACCCGTACGTTTCTCGAAAATAATGTGGACTCCATTGATCGTACCCTAAACACTTTCATATCGACTGAAACGGTCCTCTATCGGATATTAATGCACAGTGTGAATACATTTGATACCTTTAGCGAGGACTTTCTGAACAGCAGGCAGGAGGAGATCCTATCAATGGTCTCCAAATACTTCAGGTCCTTGGAGTCTGTTAATAATTCAAATTGTCGCAAGTACAAGTGCGCCGTGTGTAAGGGCGCTTATTATATAAGTCGCATATAGACCGGATCGCTATCGGATCAGGATCGCTATCCATATCTCCAGCCGTTATTCTTTGTCTGATATATTATTTTCGAAAAAAAATTGTCTGTTCCTATGTGCGATATATGCATTATTTTGTAAGACACTTTCCTAGATGGCGTCTTTTAAAATATTTTCATAATAGATATTCTGGCAAACATTACATTTTATTTATATTTATTCTAAGAACCCAAAGTGTCATCCAAGCAGAGTGCGCTGTGAAAATCCCAGGATATAGTTTACATACATAATATTTATTTTGTACAATTTTAAATTCTTATAAAGAGTACTTTTTATTCAACTAAATGCCTTATCCTATAAATAGTGTATGTGTTGGGTTGTGTCCCTCGCACAGTGGGAGCAACAACTAAGGTACCGAACTCTATAAGAGTGAGCGCGACTTGTGCCAGAATGTACAACTATATAGTATGTGTGCTAAGCTAACCTATGGACGGATGAGTCAAAGACAATGCTTTGACGAATAGCTAGCAGAAGAACTCTTCCTCGCAAACGTTAAAGCAACAGTAGGGTATGTTGTTGTAGCTGCTGGAGGAGTGATCTCGCTTGAAGCGCTGCTTCTTCTCGTGATGCAGCTTCTTGGGCTTGTAGCGCGGCACCACGTCCAGCTCACTGAGGCGATGGAAGTGCTCCCGATTGACCTTCAGATAGCCGCCCATCGGGAAGCTGCTCCGGATAATATAGTGATGCTTGTCATACGCTTTGCCGTCTAGAAAGGAAAACCAGAAAGGTGGAAACGTGAGCGAGTGAGCAAATTGATCTTGAACCTGTGCCTTGAAGTCGGTTAACTGTTGCATCGGAACTGCTTTGTATATATGCAAATGAATATTAATATTAATTCCGAAGTCTACACATTTTAAAACGTGTTTTCGGCACTGCAGTTCCGAATGCAATTATCTGCCTGGAGTTGACTGACACCCTCTGGCCTTAATCAGACCTAATAGTTCTTTCTTAACTGGCTAATCGTAGTTCTAGTTCTTTATGATACTTACATCCCAGCCGATTTAAATGATGGTGCGAGTACTCAATGGACCGCCTATCTCTTCGCGCACTCTCGTCCTGCTGGAATAAATGCTCGCAAGCCTCCATGGCGAACTTCTTCATGCGCTCCAGGGAGCAGTAGCTGCTCGACGCACTGCCCGAGGAGCTGCCCACCAGACAGCACACCCCGAGGGCAATCAGCAGCGTCCAGCGGCACAGATTAAACTGCAAAGGGAGAAAGGGGAGAAGATCGTGAGTATATTGAGTTGATTCAAAATTCAAAAATAATCCTTTCGGTTTTTAAATTTAAATCCATGCTGACGCTCTCAGAATTTATGGCATAAGTGTTACAATGTTCCTCTAACCGGCTGCACTCTGCTCTGCGCTGGCTCGATGCCGAATCTGGATTAACCACTTTGGCTGACGACAGTGGCAGGACGCCGGGATGACGTTGCCGGGTTCGCCGGGATGCGGCCCATAAACTGGGTCAAAATCGAAACAAGATCGAAATATCGAAAACTGGAGCGCATTTGCAAGTCGACGCGGCCAAATGGTCAAAATTTAATTGCCGCTTTTAATGACCGAAACTTCCCCGACATTACAGAGAGTGGAAATTATGTAATGCGCCGACGCAGCCGCCACGCCAGGTAGGCATTTCCGCATTTTGCATTTAACATTTCGCACTTGGCGACTGTTTAGCACACTCGCTCCCATATAAATCCGATCGTCGGCATTATGCTTGCGGTTGGGTTTGAGCTTGGGCCAGTGGAGAGAACAAAAGCGCATTTGTTGTTTATTTTGATATTTTTAGCTGACAGCCGCCCGTCAATTACAGCACACACCCACTTTTTCGGGCTAATTGATTAATGCAAGCCATTAAAGATTTATTTTTTGTTTAGATGAGGGTTGTAGTATTTAAAGTTTTCTTTAACTATTTAGTAGAGGAAAAGTTCTAGCATACTGAAAGGTTTATATCCTTACTAATTCTTATTTTAGTGAAACATTTATTTATTCTATTTTTGAGTTATTTTTTTTTACAGGGTATTTTTCTATTGTTTGTTTTTGTAAACATAAACCCCCTAAATTGTAGTATCCCCCCTTTTTTGTATTATTAAACTCTATAAATTCTCACCTTTGAATCCATTTGAATCCGTTCTAGGATCAGAAGAGCCACACAAAGTACCTTCCCTTGGATGCCACACTACGTATACGTGTTTTTGGCGGGTAAAATTGAAAAATCCCCAGCGAAGAATTGTAAACTTGACCGACGATGAATGAAAACGAATGCGAATAACTGGCTTTTGGCTCGCAACGAATAAAGCCGACTGATAAGCACGAGTGACGAGCGCACAATGAAAGCTCGCCCGAAGCCGCTTAGCTTTTTATACGCGCATGCAAATCGAGGATCGCAGCTTCGGATCGGCTCAGGTTGACTCGTCGTCGGCTTCCCCAGGTTCTCGACGTGCTCTTTTTCGGCCTTTTTAATGGGGGATGGAGCGATGGAGATGGAGAGAATGCAGCCAGGAGTTTTGCGTAAGCGGCAAGGGCGGCGCACCTTCTTCAAGGCATTTCACACACTGATATATATATACCTATAACCATTTTGTTTTTTTTTTTATCAATGGACGTCAGGAGTTGGCTTTTATAGTTGGTCCAGTGGCGTGTCGGCGCCACCTTCAAATCTTCGTCATCGATTTCAACATAATCATTATGGTTTCAGCGAGCTGAGTCACCTCCCAGCAACATGCCATGATGGTGGCCTAGCTGTTTTTGATTAAAGACCTGTCACAAAACTGTTTACAGTGTTATCAGGCACCTTGGACGTGTAATAAGGTAGTACTTGAACGGATTTGGCGGTCACCACCACCAGCTCTGGACGACGTAGTGAAAGTTTCACTTGTTCACATGTCACCGCTTGGTAAGTTGGTATAATTATTTTATTAGAAGCCATAGCATTGCCATAAATTCATAAAACAATAATTAATACAATCATGAGGCTTATTGGTATAATAAGACCAGAATGGGTCAAAGTTTGATTCAAAAATGTATGCCATAAATAATAAACAAAAATCAAGACATTGTGATATGTTTATTTTTTTTCTAAGATTAAAATTCGAACTGAAATACTCAAGTATTTCAAGTATGAAATATTAAGTATTTGTTGAGATTTTAGAAAGTAATTAATGACTTTTGTCAATATTAATTAATAATTCAATCAAATGAACTTAAATTATAAGCAGTTAAATCTGGTAATAACTTTTGCATTTCACTGAATGCGGTTTAAAGTAGACCTTACGAGTTTAGTCTAGATAAAACCAAAATTCTAATGATTATTATAAAATTACAGGTTTTTTGGGGGGAAAAAAACGAAATGGGGAGATAGAAATCATAAACACCTACTTGTCTAAATGCCTACAATTTAATTTGTTATGAAATAATCTCCACCATAATGAATGTTAACTGAAGTAGTAGAATCTATTTAAAACAGTAAAAAATAAAACAGTTACAATTTAAACTAATATAAAGAAGTTTTATATCTTGCAAAATATATTTAAAATGTATTCACAAATACATATATATAAAATATATATCAAATAATCCATGAAATTCTTCATTCTAAATCTTTTTATAGATAAATAAATACCTTATTTTTAGATATTAAGATATATATTTTAAGATTTTAATTTATTTACTTAATAACAGCTCAGAAAGACGTACCTCGTTCAGGTTAATTCTACAGAACTATAGCTTTCCAAGCATTATCAACGAGAGAGTACTCCAATTACAGGTTTTTCCCCTTATACGAAAGGTTCTAGAAAAGAGAGCGAAAGTGAAGGCGACGAGAGCCACTTTCACTCTCGTCTCAGGGTTGTGTCTCTTTCGGGTCATTTGGCTGTCTCTCTCCATTACACTTGCCCTCTCGCTCTGGCTTGGTGTGACAGCATCTCTTGACGTTTCACTGACATTGAGCACTTAACGGTTGTTCTGTATCGTAAGAGATCGGGCGTCATCATCGTGGGTTCTTATTTTGGAAGCTCCTTTCAGATCACGCCTTTTCAGTATTTTTAGCCGCTCTCTCGGTCAATGCACACTTTCGGCCGAGTTTTTTATGGGCTTCGTTTTGGTTTCGTTTTTATTTTCGTTTTCGTTGTCGCTGCTGCATTCCCGTATGCGGAAACGTTCGCTGGGCCGCCGGGGCGTATGCGCAATGCTGCGACGCAGTTGCATTTGGCATGCCCCGTTTTTGCACGTCGCGCGAATCCTTTGGAATTTGCGCATTCCCGTGCCATCCGTCGTCGTCGTCGCAATCTAACGGTACACCACGGATCGGGGCACGGTCACGTTCTGGGAACCAAGTGGAATGTTGGCGAACAATTTGCCCGCGGAAATATGCGGCACTTAATTACTGCTGATGGCTGGCTTCACGGGCCACTCGACGACTCTCATTCATAAATACAATTTCACAACCTGATTTAAGAATCGCGCCACTTGCGCCATGTCAACGATCTCCGTGTGGAGGGAGGGAGAATGGCTTACCTGACCCTACCTGGGCATCGAATTCACGTCGCTCTGATTGCCAAAAAAAACAACATAACATAAGTCCAGCGACGAAAAGCATAAACCACAAACTGGTTTCTAATAGAATCGCCGGGGCCAACGTTGATCTGATATTCGTGCAGTCTAGACGAGGGCATGGGCATGGGCATGGGCATGGATCCTTGCCTTGGCAACAGAAGACAAGAACAGGGAATGTCGCTTCTTCGTCTTCCGAGAAGATCTCTGTGTGTGGACAGGACAGGAGACGGACATCAGGAGGACAGGACCGTTCGCTTGCAGAGCGTGTGAGCTAGTGTTTTTGTTTTGATGCCCATCCCATCGCCTGTTCCTTGAACTGAGGGCGAAAGTGGTGCGTCACGTCATCATCTCCGGTGTCTGACTTTGCCGGCAGCTTTGTCGTTCACCTTTGCCATCCTCATGCTCATCCTCATCCTCATCCTTGTTCACATCTCCCCTTCTTGTGGCTCCTTTTGGTATGCCAAAGGGTCTTCCGTTGCGCCCCGAGTTCAAAAAACTCTGCGATTGCCTCGCAGCGATCGCATTTCAAATTAGAAACTCTTTTTTTGGGGGGTCCGATGGCACATGGTCATGGCTATTTAATGCTCTTTCGTTTTTGTAGTCATCTAAAAGGGGTTTTATCTTGAATGTAAATATATAATTTAAAAAAATTAAAATTTAACACATAATTCCATAACAAGACTGTAATTTAATAAGGAAAGTTTTAATCCGCTCGTTAAATATTTATAAAGAACTTTCGGCTAATACTAATGTTCACTTCAAATTTAATTAAATGCTCAATGGTTTGGATTCAATAGGTTATTTATTTAATATGTAAAAACTAATTCGTGTACAAAATTTTGGGTTGTTCAAGTTGGCTAACGTTTTGTTGAATTTTAAATATCCAATAGGGTGCTTAACCATAATCTTAACCGAATCGATTAAAAGTGAAAATATTTCATAGAATCTGTCTAAAGTCTTTTCAAAAACTTTCGGCATGACTGCCTTCTAATATTCGAGGAGTTTCTATGTAAAAGACAGTTCAATACACTTTTCGTTGTATGGGGCCAAAACCTGGAGGCTTATAACAAATACAGCTGGGTCATAGTCACTCTTGTTTCTGAGTAATATAAAGACAATTTCGTCATGAATGCAAAATGAGTAAATTAATACAGCTTGGCAACATAAATCAAGATTAGACGAAACCAAAAATTAAACGTTTTCAGAGTTGTCAGCTTGGCTGGTAAAGTAAGAAAATAGAATAGAAAATAGAAATAGAATAGAATGATTGTACCAAACAAACCAAAAGCATAGACAAATTTAATTACTATTTTTAATTTAAAGCTTATTGAGTCTTTTTTACAGAATTTTCATGTAATTCTAATGGGGTGGTAAAATTACAAATTATGAAATAGAAGAATAGAATAGAAGAGCTTAGATATAATGACAATTATCCAGCTATAAGATCCTTTTATGCTGCGATTTTAATACTTTAATTTGGTAATTAAGACTTAAATTTTTAACGATCACTGACCTGGTCTTCTAAAACTACCAACAGATAGAGCCACTGCATTGAGGATGAAAGCTCCACCTACGCGGTCAAGAAGCAACATCAGCTGTTTCATTAGATTGACTGTGAAGCTGCGGTCACACTGAGGTAAAAACAACAACAAAAATAAGAGAATAAAAATGTTAATTTCCCGGCTATTACGAAAACAACGCATTTACGGCAATTTAAGCTGGTCCCGATGGAGTAGCGATGCCGCCAAGGCCTCTACTGAGGCTAGTCCGCTGGATACAACCCCAGAGAAGCGGCAGCAATTAATCAGCGAGCTGGCGGAGCCGCTGGACCGCAAAAGCCGGCCCGCCATCGATCCCAAGGAGACGAGCGTAATGCTCTTCCCCGGCCAGGGCACCCAGTATGTGGGCATGGCCAAGGACTTGCTCCGCTTTCCCGGCGCACGCCGCATCTTTGAGCTGGCCAATGAGGTACTGAAGTTCGACTTGCTAAAGATCTGCCTAGAGGGACCACGTGAGAAATTGAATCGCACAGAGCATGCCCAGCTGGCCGTGATGGTGTCCTCCCTGGCGGCGTTGGAACAGCTACGCGAGGAGCGGCCCAAGGCCATTGAGACGTGTGTGGCTGCCGCTGGCTTTAGTTTAGGGGAGATCACAGCCCTGGTGTACGCCGATGCCATACCATTTGACAAGGCGCTACGTCTGGTGCAGGTGCGGGCCACCGCAATGCAGGCGGCATGCGACCGAGCAGCCGGTGCCATGGCCATGACGCTGTACGGACCGGACACCAACCTGGGCGAGGCCTGTGCCCGAGCACAACAGTGGTGTGTGGACAAGGGCGTAGAGTCGCCCTACTGCGGCATCGCTAACTACATGTATCCGCACTGCAAGGTGGTGGCTGGCAATGTGGAGGCCCTCGAGTTTCTTGAACAGAACGCCAAAGCCTTAAAGATCAGGCGGATGAAAAGATTGGCGGTTAGCGGCGCCTTTCACACTCCCCTCATGCAGAGTGCCGTGGAGCCGTTTTCCAAGGCTCTAAAATTGGTGCACCTGCAGGATCCCGTGATCAAAGTTTACTCAAATGTTGATGGAAAGCCGTATCGCAACGCCAAGCACATTCTGACGCAGCTGCCGAAGCAAATCCTTAGGCCCGTCAAGTGGGAACAAACACTCCACGAGATGTACGAGCGCAAACAGGGCGTCGACTTCCCGCGCACCTTTGAATGCGGTCCCGGCAAGGGTCTCGTCCAGGTCCTGGAGAAGGTCAACGCCAAGGCGGCGCAGACGAGCTTTAATGTTACAGCCTAAAAGTTTATAATAAAATCAATTTGTTGCTTTTATAAAAATGTATTTTGCTTTTTTGCTGTGGAAACAAAACAAAAAATAAAATGTGGGAGTTGCTAATCTGCCTCAGATCCTTAACTCTTGTCGTCCCGGGTACGCATGCGATGTGCGAATGCCGCGCCCTTGTTCTTGCGGAAGCTCTCGAAGGGATCGTGCATGTTGGCGCCCACGCCCTGCATAGATTGATTCACATGTTAGGGATTGCTTTCTGGGGTTATTTTTCCCCGAGGACTCTTACCTTGTACATTTCTCGACGGTCCCGCACCTCGCCACCGGAAATTGGCGTATCTATGCCTTGGTTCTTTGAGCCCAGTCCCGTGCCAGTGCCCGCCCAACCCATTTTCATAAGCATTTGGTGGCCCTTGTTTGACTCCTCGATGAATTCCTGAGGCTTGGCAAAGTTACTGCCCCTGAAATATGAAAAAAGAAAAATAGAATTTAGAACTTGATGGTTTTTCTTCTTCATCTCTATACTCACAGGAAACTCGGCGGAGTTGGTGATCTGTCGCGCTCCACTCGTCTAAGGGCATTGTTGCCATTATTGGCATTACTGCCCGAGTTGCCAACGTTGCTGCGATCTGAACGATTCTCCCGATTGTTGTTGTTGTTATTGTTCTCCCGTTCGTGACGAGGCGATCGGTTGCGACCCTTGCGATTGCTACCACCTCCTCCTCCTCCGCCACCGCCGCCGGACCTGTTGCGTTGCATCGGCGGCGGCGTCAGGGCGCGTTCCATGGATCGAGAACGGGATCGAGAGCGGGACCGGGAACGTGATCTGTCACGTGGCGGCGGTGTGTGGGATCGAGAGCGACTGCGACTCTTGGACCTTAATTTAAAAACAAAATCGTAAAATGCTGACGGAAAATATTGAACTTCAACTGCCACGACTCACCGATAAACCCGCTTATTGCCCTTCTTAGGCTTGGGCTTCTCTAGCACAATGGGACTGGGGGAGCGGGACTTTTCCCGTATGCCATCCTTGATTTCCTCCTCCTTTTGCTTCCGCGCCGCATTTTTAACCTTGTAGTACTCATAGAGACCAAGCTTCTCCCAACCCTCACTGTAAGACAAAAAGGAACTTTATTAGCATCTTCCTGAGATGTGTTTGTAGCGAAATCACTCACTTATCCCTGGGACGATCGTGCGAGGGAGCGGCATAGAAAGCATTCAATGCATTGGTCAACCGCTCGCTTTGTGGCGCTGGAGCTGGCAGTCGTATGTCTGCTGGGTCCAGAGGTTTGTAATTGTAGTCTTCCAGCCGGATTAGGGGCACCATTAGACCCGCTGGCAGGTCATAGTAAGGCGCTGTGGGTATTTGTGGCTCTCCGATAACGACAGGAGACTCCGCAGAGTCTCCTTCTGCTTGCTGGCCATCTTCTGATGAGTGTTGCTGTTGGTCTGAATGCCCGTCCTCGGGTTTAGTCGTTATCACCGCTCGAATGGCAGCATTAAGCACATCAAGATCCACTGGTTCACCCGGCTGGCCACCAGATCGCAAGGTCTGAGGATAGGCAGCCATGGGCGGCGGTTGTTGCTGCTGCTGCATTTGGTGAGGACCTGGCCCTGCCTGCTGCGGGTCGTCGGGCTGGCGTTGCTGCAGCTGCATCACAGCCTGAATGGCGGCATTCAGCACGCCCAGATCAACAGGTGGCTCGTTGTTGGTTCCTCCCTGGCCCTGCTGCATTTGTGGATATGGACCCTGTTGCTGCTGCTGTTGCATAGGTGGCCCTTGGCCATGATGAAGCATGGGCCCAGCAAAACCTGGCGGTGGCTTTGACATGTCCGGAATGAAAAAGTTCGGACCCCTAGGATCCGCAAAGGGGTTTCCCGGGTGTTGCTGCTGTTGCTGCTGATGGAAGTTGGCTCCCGGGTATACATTGTTCCCCGCCGCCTGAGGATGCTGTTGGGGATCGTGCGGCCCCGAGGGGTTGACCATATGCTCTCGGTTCCCAGGCATATTAACTCGGTGGGACATTAATGAGGGTATGTTCTTCCCCACAGCTGGTCCTCCTTGGTGTTGCAGCATATGTTGCTGGGACTTTTGGGCCACCATAAGCTGCTGCTCCAGCTGCTGGCGCTGCTGCTCTAGCTGGGCAATCTGCTGGCTGGCGTGTTGGATAAATATTTGATGCTGTTTTTGGTAGCTGCAAGGGAGGAGACATATTATGAATTGTGGAACTTTAAAAAGACTTTCTTAACTCACTTGTCTAGGGTGGCCTTGGTGTTCTGTGTGAATTTGGCGGTTATGTCGGGATGTGTGTTCTGCAGATTGGTTTTGTACTCCTGCATCGATGAGTCCGGCGACTGTAGCTTCGAGATGACGCAGGCATCAAAGAACTTAGCTTTGGACTCCCACAGCGACAACAGTTTGGCTAGCTTCTGGCGCTGATCATTGCTGGCAACTGTTGGGGGGTTTGGAAATGATAAATAACCAAAGATAATGCCAGGGACAAGGTGATAATACATACTCAAATCGGCGCTGCAGAACATCGGAATGACGACATTCTCGAGGTTGTTCTTCAAGTCATTGATGTTCTTGCGCATGCTGTAAATACATCGTTGCACTTAGGACACTGCTGGCAAGCCCGGCTGCTAATCTAAAGTCTTGGGTCGTCTGTCGGGGTTTCGGTCTGCTCAAAAACTAACCCACAAAGCCAGGACGCTGCCTGGGGCTCTGTGGGTTAGTGGTCTGACTTTCTAAATACTATTAACTAAACTATTGGCGATTGACTGGGCGAACTTACCAGTGGTGGAGTATATCATTAACTAAATATATAAGATGCAATTTTTGCTGAAACGTTGAACCATTGACCAAAGCCCTAAAAATAAATTAACAAACGAAAAAACATATTTTTCTCTAGTTTCTGGTATGCACAACAATATTCTGCCAAAGGTAATTGTTGTGCCAGAATGATATTTTGTTAGTTCTTTCTTCTTTTCTTGTTTTGATCTTTTTTTCTTTGTTTTTTGCTGATGAATTTCACTGTGTGTTTTGTGTAGATTTAAGCTTATTAAGTAGGAAAATGATGTGTGTGTGTGTGTTTGGGTGTGTCTGAGTGTGTTTTTCCCTATCTACGCTCTAGATCCCGGATCTGTGGGAACTATTTCATGGATCATACATATATATAACATCTTTTGAAAACGAATCAACGAATCAATCTCGAGCCTTTCTGGGGAATCGATCATCTCACGCTCTTGCTTTTCGATATTTCGTTTTTGTATTGGTTTTGGTTAGTATTTCACTCGTTGAAAAAAAGAAACACAATTTAATTAATATATGTGGAGTATCATTAATTATAAAACTGAGAGGCATACTTCTTTAAAAGATATTGTAAAACGACATTGATTTTTGCGCTGTCGGTTGAATGCTGTAAAATCCAGTTCTTGCCTAAAATTGCAATATCAAACGGGTTACTCATATTGTCATTGTCACTGGCAATTATATTATTAGATAAATGTATATAAATATTAATCAAAAGTTTGTATGAATATATATTTAATGTATGTGTGTGTTTTGTTTGTGTGCTTGGCAAAAAGGAGTTTTCTCATTTATGACTTGAGATAACGATTACAACTATTGTATGAACTACAAATAAGCAATAATACTGAGTCCGGATGGAATCGCCCGACTCGGACATATATATTTACCTGCAGAGATGCTGTCCTTGGTGCAGGACTCTATGATCGGTTGCAAGACGCCATCAAAGTCCCTCAGCACGATGCCCTGCTCCCCGGCCAGCTGCTCCAGCTGCGTCGTCTGCGCCCCGGCGATCGCCTCCTCGATCTGTTTCGACTTCTGGTTCATCAGCGCCTAGAGGTTGGTATCGTTTGGATTCGGTATCGGTATCGGTTGTGCGATTTAGTTTCAGATGCGTTGGTGTGGTGCAGATCGGTTCGGATCGGATCAGTTTGGTCATTGGGCACACAAAGGTTTTTTCGTTTCATATTCATATGCGCATAAGCGTTTCGCGGTTTCGTATTCAAACAAATTTGATTTAAGATTTGTTTTTTTGATTTTTTATACAGTTTTTTTGTCAGTTGGTATGAAGAGTGGTTTTTGATTTGGTAATTTTTTTTGTTTATGTTTCAAAAAATACAATAAAGCAAAAGTTTAATGTAGCATTGTAAATGGTTAATTCAAGAGTTAAAATAATAGCAATAATAGTTGGTAGATTGGTAATGCTGAAAGTACACTTTAAAGTATCTTCTTATCCACATTCAGAGATCAAGGGGACGGAGGAGATCGAAAGAGGCCAAAGCAGGGGCATGTGGAGTGAGAGGTTAGTTTAGAAATCAAGCCAAAGTCATATTTTGGCATAAAATCTAAGTTTTATTCCATAAAATGATAGGAGTATAAGGAGATTTATGGAAATAGGAGTGCTACACCCAATTTATATATGGTAAAATAATCTATAAATACCAAATGATATCTGAAGTTCCTATGAAGAAAATACTCGCTTGACATTTCAAAGCGATCTCTTTGGAGAAAGAGATCTCTCTGGATTAAGTAATACAATCATTCAAAGTGGAGTCAGTTTCTATCGTTATATAATTTTTGGGACATTATTAGGGTGGGTCGATCAAGAGGATAGTTAAAAATAGTCAAATCGAGAGAAACACCATTCAGGGTTAGTTTCTTCAATTCTAAGTACTGTTAAAACATTTCTTAATGTAATATTACTCAAATCGAGAAAATGAAGTGTCATATTCGGCTGCAGTGGGATTTAATTGAGGTTTAACTGAGTATATAACTGAGGGTATATTCAAAGCCGGTCACTAGTGGACAAGTTTGAAGTTCTTTAAGTCAGAAAAAGGGAAGACATACAGGGGGCTTTCCTTCAAACACTCGAGCTGCTCTCTAATCCCTCAGAAAAATGCTTGCTAGAATATGTAGAGTAGACCGATGATGATTATCTGTGTCAAATTACCGTGTGTTGTGCGGAGAGATTCGCTTCGGATTGCTTAATTTGTTCCCGCAGCGTCTTCTGTTGCAGCTTGATGGCGTCCAATTGGGAGGTTAGGTTCATGACCATAGCATTGCCATTAGCTTGCTGCTGCTGCTGGTTATTTGGCGGCCCGCCTTGGCCTGCATTGGGTGGCCACATGTGCTGGGATTGCTGTTGCTGCTGCTGCATATTGTCTTGTGCGCTCTCTTGCGGGTGCTGTTGCTGCTGCTGGTGGTTAGGTAGCGGATAATGACCAGGAGGCTGGGATTGCTGCATGGGCGGAGGGTGTTGCATGTAGTGGCCGCCGCCTTGGGCGCCTTGCGGCATTTGTTGAGGTATGCCCTGCTGCTTGAGCACTGCAATCAGAGAGTGAGAGAGAGGATATTAATGGCTAATCAATAGATTCATTCAGCCTGGTCTTAGGTACTCACGCGTCTGCTCCGCTGCCACCCGGAATTGATAGTAGCTGGCAAACTCGCCGCCGTACAGGAACTCGAACTTGGGGTTGTTCTGCTGCTTCTGCTTTGTTATGGCCTCGAATTCCGGACCGTTCCGGGCCACGAACTCTGCCAGCTTGTCGATAATATTGCGTAAACTGGCATCTGCAAAAAAAGGGGGAAATTTTGCATAAAATGTGAGCAGCATATCAACGTTTGCGTGTGTGTGTGCGTGTTCTGGGGGCGCAGTGCAATTCGCCCGCCGAAAAAGTTAGTTAATTGCGCTTTTCCAGGCCACCACTTACCTCGCGGCGGCTGTACGTCCATGGCGCTGCTGTTTCTACAAATTTACACTTTGTAATTTCACTTAAAACATTACTTTTAACACTTTTTCAGCGGCACTTTTTATTCCTCTATTCTTTTTCTTCTTCTATTGGTATGTGACCAGAGCGCAAATACTAAAATATACTCGATGTTTCTAGTGTGCCCATATGCCTTGGAGAATTTTTAACATTATAAACGAAAAAGCCGGCGGGCACACTATCGCTAATTTTAGTTTTTTTGAGGTAAACAAACGAAAGAAACATAAATAATTATAGCCAACCAGTTGCTCGATTTAGCACAAACTCTATGCCAACGGGTAATTGATGTGGCACCCCGCCAGCGGCATGACAAGTCAATCTTGCTCGCAGATCATCCCTCGCATTACGCCGTGGCATTAACTTCCGCAGTCACCGCCGTCATATAACTTTGTGATAACCAACTACTAATACATTCAACGCATACGATGGGCAGCAGAATGGCTGAAAATGCCGGAAGCAGCGTTATCAGCATCAACGGAGCAGCCGGCAGCAGCCAGGCGACGGCGGGAGCTTCCCCGCTGCCGCAAAGGAAGTCCTCGTCGGCGGAGTCACCGCCGGAGCTGCGCATCTTGTGCTTCGACCTCACCTTCTACAACCGCACTACGCAGTTCCTGCTGAGCTGTGCCGGGGTCTTCATCCTGTACATCCTATACGGCTACCTGCAAGAGCTAATCTTTACGGTGGAGGGATTCAAGCCCTATGGCTGGTTCCTCACCCTCGTCCAGTTCGGCTATTACATTGGCTTTGGACTGGTGGAGCGCCGACTCGAGGGCTACCGGGTAAGCGGAGGATCCTTCTGGAACATAGAGCCGGAACCACGTTGCATTCCCATGAAGACGTACCTGGTACTGGCGGCTCTGACACTGGGCACCATGGGTCTGTCCAATTCTAGTTTGGGATACTTGAACTACCCCACGCAGGTGATCTTCAAGTGCTGCAAGCTCATTCCTGTGCTGGTGGGCAGCATCCTTATCCAGGGCAAGCGCTATGGAGTATTGGATTTTGCGGCAGCCACCTGCATGTGCATCGGATTGGCCTGGTTCACGCTCGCCGACTCTCAGATGACACCGAACTTCAATCTGCTGGGCGTGGCCATGATCTCGGGTGCCCTGCTCTGCGACGCCGCCATCGGAAATGTCCAGGAGAAAGCCATGCGGGAGTTTAAGGCGCCTAGCAGTGAGGTGGTCTTCTACTCTTACGGCTTGGGTTTCGTTTACCTTTTTGTGATCATGCTGGTTACCGGGAACTTCTTCAGCGGTTTTGCCTTCTGCCTGGAGCACCCACTGGAAACCTTTGGCTACGGCTTTCTGTTTAGCCTCTCCGGTTATCTGGGCATCCAGTTCGTGCTCGCTCTGGTGCGGAGCAGTGGCGCTCCCATAGCGGCCACAGTGACCACCGCTCGCAAGGCTGTGACAATCGCCTTCTCCTTCATCCTCTTCAGCAAACCCTTCACTGTGCAGTAAGTATTGCCCACATAATCCATATTAACTTCCTAACTTCCTCTCTCTTCCTTAGATATCTGTGGTCTGGCCTGATAGTGGTTCTGGGCATCTATCTTAATGTTTATAGCAAGAAGAACAAATTGACGTTTGCCGACATACGGCAAAGATTAAAACAGTTCGCCAATTCCAGGATCGCACGGACTCCGAGTCGCAAATTCCTCATCGAAGTTTAGTTTGAATACCAAAAATAACTTCTACCTTTTAGTCAAATTTGGACAAAGGTTTTCTACAAGAAAGCTATGTACTATATTTACTTAATTATACGCTATGCAAATCTTTTGTAGCCTCCACTTGGGCTTGATGTTATCTGTCCATGTCAAACTCCATCACCCGCTTGAAGAGATCCTGTCGCTCCTTGGCGGACGTCAACTGGCCCATCTCGCGGTCTAGGAATTTCTTCTGATGCTTGATGATGAACTTGTTGCACTGTATAATGGTGGCACCGATGTAGAGAGTCCTAAACTTCGCCCGGACATCTCCAATCTGAGAAAGATGAAGGAATTTAGTGAAACTATTTAGGATTAAGGTGTGTTTTTTTTACCAGTGTGATAAGAGGCAATATACTGGACACAAAGCGTTGACCACTGTGCATGCACCTAATAATGGCTATTTTGGTCCGCTCATTGATGTACTTCACCCGGAATCCCTGCTCGATCTTTCCCAGTCCATAGACTCCATAGTACTTCTCAATGTTTTTGAGCAGGCACTTTGTCAGTGTGTTGTCGTTGAACCACAACACTTTTGTGGGTGTGTAGGGCACTATCTGCACCGCAATATATCTAATTGATAGAATTTATTGTTATTATTATCACTTTAATTCATGTTTTTCTGTGTTTACCTGTTTTTTATGCGAACCATGCTTTGTTGATCTGGTTATCCCAAGCAGTATGGCATTTTAGGAAATAATAAGTAAAATGTTACTGGTCACACTGTTTGTTTACGCCTGCAACATGACCGCGAAACATGACTTTTATGATTTCCGCTAGATGGCGCTAAGAACAGAAATTCAAACTAAATCCATTAAAAGTTAAATGAAAAAAAAAAATTAACTTCAATAACTTAAAAACTCATTTTAATTATATAATGTAAATAAAATTGAGCCAATAATAAATAATACTCAATGGCAGCATATCTTGGAAACTTTAGTTGTACATTAAAATTTTAATTTAAGAAGAAACCTAACAATATATTATTTTCAATGATATGCATCTTAAATTATAGACAGTATAAGTTATTGTGATTATTTTCTAAAACTAAATAATCTATGTATGTCAATAATAACTTATTCAGTTACTCCTGCATGAATTTTCATATACACATAAATATAGTTATTAATTAAGGAACTGAAAGAGGTCAGCACTTAAAATTTTCAAGAATTTTAAGATCGAATTATGGCCAATTTATGTCAGTTGTCAAGATATACCCTATATACATATATATTATATTTTAAAAATTGGTAAACAGTTTAAGATATTCACGCCAAAAGGCCATGCCAAGGAAAAAAAAGAGAAAATACATTTAATTTCATGCAGTTGGTTTTTGCTTTGCATTTATTTAATTTTTTTCTTGTGCCAAAAATCAGCATGCACTCTGTATCATTTTTAAGCAGTAATATATGTCATAAGAATTTAAAAACAATGCAGTGCCATCCCACCCGAAAGTAGGATCCTCCCACCTGCTATACCCTGGACTTTATAGCAATCACTGCACGCATTCACGCCTCGCACCATTGGCGAATTCTCCAAGTCGCGTCTCGTTGTGATGCATCTGCTGGCAGATATATATATATAAATCGGAGCGTATATATAATATATATTGTTTATATGCGCAACGCATCGCATTATAGCTGGGCAGGCACATATGCAGCTTCCATCCCGTCCCATCCCACCCATCTCAACACATCTCGCTGGTCATGGAAAACCACTATACGGCTCGTATTCAGTCTCCGGCTGTGAGTGCGGCGGGATCCGTGTTCCTCGTCGTCGTTTTATTTTCGCTTTTTCCGATAGCACATTTACAGTTTTTTCTAAAAAACAATAAAATTCAGGCAGCGACGTGGAAAAGCGCTACAAATACCCACAAACACTCCGTGCGATCTCCGTTCGTATTTCCGATTCTACTCTGTGTTGTTTTTTGTTTTGTGTGCGTGGCAAGTTCAGCGATTTTGGTCTATATTTTGGAAAACGCATCCGCGCAGCCTCGTAGTTGGCACGAATATTCAGTGGCGATCGGTTCGAGAGATATCAGTGATCAGTCAGACCTAAAACCAAACCAGCAGCAACATGAGCAGCGTCGTAAGCACTCAACGTTCGGTCTTTCCATTTCCGCAAGGATTACTAAAAGGATTTATTATTTGTTATTTTCGCTAAAGGATGAAGATCTTACACCCGAGCAGATTGCCGTTCTGCAGAAGGCCTTCAACAGCTTCGATCACCAGAAGACCGGCAGTATCCCCACCGAGATGGTGGCCGATATCCTGCGCCTGATGGGTGAGTCCTGCCTTGAGTCCTGGAAACCGGCATGGAACTAATATTAATTTTAATTGCAGGTCAGCCCTTCGACAAGAAGATCCTGGAGGAACTGATCGAGGAGGTCGATGAGGACAGTAAGTATGAGTTTAGCCTATAGATAGATCCCTTTATATATATATTTACCGTGGAGATTGAGTCATTCAAATTATTTTAAATGATCGAATTTTTCGCATAAAAATAGACCCTGTTCAATATTCGAATATTTTACAATTTATTTTTTGGTAGGAAGGAAAAGCCAATTAAAATAATGATTTCAAAAACTGCTAATTAATTTTTGAGTATTTCTTATAAATAATTAAATTTTTGTTAGCAGAGGAAAATATAATCGTTATTATAATTAATTATGCATAGATGTGTCTTCAAAAATATATAAAAATAGATCAACATTTTGAATTATGGTTGGGCAAATAAATTATTTTACTTATAAAGCTCTCACTAGAAAGAACTGGAATGCCAGAGTATAGTCAGAGTATATCAAATGACAAATAGAAATATTAAATAAATTAAAATTAAATATTAAAACTAAGCATTAAAATATTAAATTTTATATCTATATTACTTTAAAAATTTAAAGATAGAATTCTAAAATGGAAGTAGTTGTTAAATTTTAAACAATTTTCTCAGGGTTGGTTAAAAGATATCTTTTCAAAAGGCTTAAGCATCCTTTAATATGTCTTTTAAATAATTAAACTTTAAAGATATATTCCCTTATATTCAGACATAATTAAATTTAGTTAATAAAACAAGATTCTCTAAAAAGTTAAAGACTAATGCAGCCCAGTCACTATTTATAATGATTATTATTACACTAAAATAAGCATGATTCACTATCCATTGATGATTGTATTTAACTTTCTAGCTGTCAGTGATTTATGATCATCACAGCCTCAGCTCCGATCATTAGTCCGTAATATTTTGCCATAGCTAATTATATAAATTTTGAATATCTTTCCAGAGTCCGGTCGCCTGGAGTTCGGTGAATTCGTGCAGCTGGCTGCCAAGTTCATCGTGGAGGAGGATGCCGAGGCCATGCAGAAGGAGCTGCGCGAGGCCTTCCGTCTGTATGACAAGCAGGGCAACGGCTTCATTCCCACCACCTGCCTCAAGGAGATCCTCAAGGAGCTGGACGACCAGCTGACCGAGCAGGAGCTGGACATCATGATCGAGGAGATCGATTCTGATGGTTCCGGTACAGTGGATTTCGATGGTGAGTCTTTATAGTCGATATAGTATTTTATTTTCATTCATTCTATAGTGGCTTGCTATGCCCGCCCACGCCATGCGTATAGTGATCATAAATCTGGTGATCTTGGGATACCGAAATCGCTCGATTATGACAACTTGATCAGCCGCTCTCATGGAGCATATCGATGGCTATTTTTAGTCTGCGACATAGACTTTTCGATTCGTTTTCCACGCATCAGGCATCGGGCAACGGGCATCGTACATTTTCCATATACAAACATTTCCCTTGCTTCGTGTTTATGGAATATTTATTTATAAATATGCATATAGCGGTTGCTTTAGACTTCTGGCATCGGTTTAATGTCTGTCGTTTTGTTTAATTTACAGAATTCATGGAGATGATGACCGGCGAGTAAATAAACGCACTGCGTCTGCCACCCACAATCCACCACCTTCTTCCACAACACACAAGCACACCACTCGCACACCTGTTGGACTACGGACACACACACACTCTCACACACACCATACACGTTTGTTTGCTACCCATATTTGCACACTTGTTTCACTTTTTATTTGCATTTTCCCCACGGGAGCAAACAAATCCACGTACTTCAGTTTGACAATGCCAAACACAAGTAGAAATAGAACTTTTTGTACTACTTTTTATACTAAAAGAGCAACGGAATACTGTGTATGCGAAAAAATAAATGTTATACCATAACAAAAAAAAAAAAAAAAACAAAAAGGAAAAGAAAACATTTTGAAATATTTTCCCTACTCATTTTCAGTTTGTTTTGGGTTTAGCTTTTAGCGCCCAGTAAACACGTCTATATCATAAATTTCATTTTGATTATGAGCGTAAACAGGAATGCATCAACTTTATTCAGAAAGAACAAAACTATTTGAAAAGATTTTTTTAATATATAATAATAATTTCCTTTGAAAATGCCTAGTCATTTGGGATTAACAAAAATTAACGATTTGACACATATAAGCTGCTGGGTCAAAACCAAAACAAAAACAAAATTATAAATAAATGAGCAGAGGCAATTAGTCACAAGTTTTTTTTCTCTGGTTTTCCTTCGTTTTTTTGTTTTTCTTTTGACAAATTGACACTTTCTGCCATTTTCGTGTTGCATTAAATCTTTCACTTATTTCGGTTTTAAATGAATTTCGAGAATAAATACAATAATATGGGGGCAATAGCATGATTTCTTGAAAGCGAATATAAACGGATTTTCTTTGTCATTATTTCTCTATTGTTATTTTGGTCTTTGATTTTTGTTTTTTATATTTCAATTTATTATAATGTAAGCTGTGAAGGATTTAACAGCAAAGTCAACCTAGGCATGTCCTCTAATAAAAGTTGTATTTATTTTATTTACCTTTTATGAGGTATTATGTCATAAATATATACACATTAAATGTTGTTGTAAATTCAGCTTAGTAATAATCGATTTACTATTCGACATCACATCGACAGGGTATAAAAACTTCGGCTTCCTAATGTTAGTTTACCTTCTTTGCTTTTGAAGGATTTATAGTCTCTTTAAATAAATTGTTGAAATACTTGATTGATATTTAAATTATTTATGGGGTGTTTCTTAGATTTAAGATCTTGGAACGATTTCTTTAGGATTTGTTTTCATTTACTTTTTGTCTTTTTGAAAAGACATTTTCAGACATTTCTTCAGTTTTGTTATGAGAAAAGTTATACCATTTTTATCTCGTACCTAATAATTGGGGCCTTATTTGAAGTAAGGTTTACTTTTCTTTGTTGATAAATTAAAAGCATTTCTTAGTTCCTATTTTGTTTAATATGTACATATGTGTAAATGCGAGCTTAAATTCAGTTTTATTTAATTTATGAAATATTTTTATTATTTCAAATATGATTCCTTTTGGTTATTACCAACGGTAATACCATTTTCCTTGAACTTTTAAAAGATTTACTTTGAAATCTATAGTATAATGCCATCTGGAAGTTCAATTAAAATATAAATGAATATACCCAATGGAATTAATTTGTATGTTAATAATTTATAATTATTGCTTTGCCACCTTTGAAGAGTCTCCATTCCGAATTTCCGTTATGAAAAGAACAAATATTATGCCAGCTACAGAAATCAACTTCTTGTAGCTTCGATCGGCCAAAAGAGAGACAGACCCACGCTGAAGAAAGCTGCGGCCAAAAAGCTTCGTCTTAACCACGTTAGCTCCGTCGGTAAGCTATTGCCATTGCCCACCAGCGTTTTGTGCGAGTTGAGTGCTGGGCGTCGAGCGTGGAACGTCGTGCCGCTGCTACTACGCCTATTACCCCATATACGGGTTCCCTACGGGCCTAATCACCTTACGCCGTAAACCGAACCCAACTGAACGGAACCTATCCCCCGATCGCGAGTTTTCCGCGACAGTTTTTCGACAGTGTCTCGTGATTCGCGTCGCGATTGATAAAGAAGTTCATAGAGAATTGTAAAGAGAAATATATATATATTATATATATTCCGACATGCCGCAGAGGTAACGGATAGAAAGCGGTAGCTAAGGCCTTTATTTATATAATAACAGTAACAAATGTTGTTTGTTTTGGCCAAGAACCGAGAATGCGAACGTGTTAAAAAAAAAAGCAAAAGGCAGCAGCGCGGCAAAGGCAACGGCAAACGGCAACGCTTTTGGCCATGCCTATAAAATTTATGAGGGTATCGTAAATTCATATAGCGCCCGATACTCTTCTCTTTAGCTGGCGCTGGCTGGCCTGGGCCTTTTCATTTTTCTTGACATTGGCTTATCAAATAAATTATAAAATAAAATTGGACCTGATAAACGGCATGCCGTTGTAAATTTGTGCGTGTGTGACTGGTTAAAAGTGTGTGTGCCTGCGAGTGTGTGTGTGTGTGTATGTGTTAGAGTTGTCGGCCAAGTTCGCTTGATAAGCGCTTTTTTTGGGGCCGCTTTTCGTTGGCTTTTTTGTAATTTTAGCCCTGATTGAAAACAAAAGCCATTGCCACCAACACGCGCGCTGCTCTGAGAGGGTTTTCTCGCAGGGGGGGAAATACAGAAAATTCTGCAGCTCAGCAGCAGAAACCAGACGTCAGTCGCCAGCGCTTGTGACGTGAGTCACAACAATGGCAAACCCAGCAAATTAGCACTTGACTTTGAATCAAATCAAGCCGAAATCAGTCGCAAACATGATAACGCAAACACAAACAAATCGCAAAAGATTCCATTTGAGTGTAACTCCAGGTGTTTTCTATTTTCTATGTACTTTCATATTTCGAAAGTTCCACCAACAACTGGTCCTTCCAGCCGCTCCATCGGCAGCGTAGTGGGAGTGGTTATGGCTATCCGCAACATGTCCTCAACACGGTGCCGGAAACCGCGGTGCTCACCACGCCCCCGCCCACACGAAAGCGTAAGTAACTTGATTTAATTTGTTATTAGTTTGAAATTTGAATTTGGCGCTCTGTAGCAGGCAGCTTGCATTCGTTAACATAACAGCTGTAGTGTTTTTTGAATTCAAATGCAAAAGTTCTATAGCTTTTAGCTTTCATCAAGGGTTGACAGAATTGAAGAATTGCTTTAACACATCAGTTTTACTCAATGATAAGTTACACTTTGACCATTTAAACGAAAACAACTAGCAATTCAGTCACAGACTTTGTTTTGGGTTGTTCGCTTTCCAGCTAATAATATCGGCTAAGTACCTTCGATATTATCAGTAATGTAGTCGCTTAGGGAATCCCCTTAATGTCAGCTAACACTGCAGAACCACCTTTCGCACGCTGCCCAACACTGAGCCTGTAATTAAACAACAACAACTGAAATAAAAACAAAAATTATAGCGCTCACATTTAGCTCACAAATTGCTGGCGTTGCTTCTGCTGCGGAACACAAGCGGCGATTCCTACCAGCGCGGAAAAAAAGCGCGATGAAAATGCTCGCGGACACGGAGCGGGAAGAGGCCCTCAATTTGGTGAGTTCAATTAACGAAAAAGAAGAAAAAAAGCGAAGGCCCAAAAACCATGACAACGGCCAGCGCTGGTTGCAAAAACAAAACAACGCTCACCGTTGCCAAAAATGCGATTAACTAACTTTGCTAATTGATTATCAATTTTTTCGGTTTGTGTTCTGTTTTTCCTGTTTTCATAATTTTCCGCACCCTGCTCCCGCTCCAACGTCGCTGCCGCCGTCGCCGCCCACTGTGCCGTTATTGATTTGTACACGGAACGTGCTTTGTTTGGCGGCGCTATCGCGAAAAACCTACGCACATATATAATCTCTGGGCCCGAACTATACTACACACCGCGGAAATATGCAAAACACAAACATATACACACATTACATACCCCATTCCCGCATTCCCAGCAAATTGAATTCGAATGGGTGTTGCGGCAGGAGGTGCATGCGATACTGAAGCAACTGCGAACCATTCTGGTGGTGAGTTCATGACCTACATCTACCTATAAATCTTTAATTTGTCATTGTGCCATATTCCGGCAGGAGTGCGCCCATCGATTTCCGGTGCCGCTGTATGAGAATGAGGGAAAGAAGACTGAGAAGTTCATACTGGCCGTTTCGCCCGATCAGCTGAAGGCCGTGCTCACCCTGACGGGCGATGCCATCACACAGGCTGTAAGTTAAACCCAGGAAATAGTACTTCTAGAGGTGCCCCTTAACTCCTTTTAGGATGTTTTCCCTGTACAAAGAGACCAAATGTTTGTCAATTCATTATACTTTAAATACGCCTAAGTGTCTAGAAAACAAGCCGAAGTTTGTATACCTTTGCAGTTTGCAATTGGATCACGCGGCTTTAAAAGTTAACATTTGATTTAAACTGCTATCTGACTGATTAATTAATGCAAGGGAATAAGAAACAGTGACACATCGATGTTCTTTACACAGAATGCAATTTCTTCTATATCCCCCCAAAGAGCTTGGGAATTACTCTTCGGTTTGACAATTGACAATTTAATGTTCAAATGAAGATATTTAATAGAGATCTTTAGGCTGATAAATTTAAATTTAAAGTAGCATAATTATGGTAGACTGTACATCAAATCTATTCTCTAATAACAAAGAAAAATTAGTTAAATATTTAGCGAGAATTTTGTTTACTAACTTATGAGGAAAGTGTCTAGATGTTTTTTGTCTTAGAGAAATGCATGATGAATTGTAGCTACTTAAATTATAGTTAATTAGGTAACTTAACAAGTTACAAAGTATTTTAACCAATTTATACCCATAGCGACGAAAAATAGATTCATTTTATTCTATTACAAGTCTACTGACGTGGTCATAGCCCTAATAGACACCTAATCACAAGCTAGGCAGTCTAGCAAAATTCAATCTATCATCAATCAATCAAGCTGGAGCCCAAATACTAAATCCATAACTTACTTAACTTTAATAACTTATTTATCCTTACTATTCACAGGACATTAGCTTTAAGCTGTGTAAGGCTCCCAGCCAAACGCAACGTACCTCCATCACAGGGGAATCACCCTGGAAGCTGCAACAGGTCCAGGATGCCGCCAATCATCTGCAGACCGCCATCAACCACATAGACGACGTCGACGACTCTTATCACTTCAAGTGAGTCATTAGTTTGTTTTCACACCCAGATTCGAGGTTATTTATGCCGCTCTCTCTCTCTGTAGAACCTCCGATGAAGTGCTGCATGTGATAGGCAACATACTGGATGCCCTGCAGCGTGGCAGGAATAGCTTGCTAGTGCCCAAAAAGAAGCCCATCGATGAGTTGATCAAGGGACGCAACATGAAGTCTCTGGTACCCAACCTGCCCGAGGATCTGGCCGTGAGCTTCTATCTGCAGAGCCACAAGCTGATCATAGCCGTTTACCAGCTGCTAAATAACCAAGGCACCATGCGCTTCGATTCCCGCCAGGCGGAAGCCTCCGTTCAGTGGCTGAACGATGTGCTGCTGCTGCTAATGAATGGCCAGAAACTGTGCCAGCAATTAAAAGACAAGGTGAGTCACATACCAGAAAATAAGTGAGGGGCCGGAAGAGGCCGCAGGAAAGGAATGTGGCTTAGATACCCTTGGCATAATATCACGATCGACACCCGCAATTTGTTGAAAAAGAAGAATAATTCTTGGCAGTTTAGGAAAAATACAGAAAAGTAATTATTTTGGTCTATTAAAAGCATAAAAGCATTTCTCTTGTCTACACAGTGAGAAACGTCTGAGTTTTCATGAAAAAAGATAAGATTTCACCAAAATCTAGACATTGTCTCACACAATAAATTCCTTTTTATTAGGATCAATTGTTCGTGTTATATATTCATATTTTTAGACGTGAGCCAAAAGAATAAAAGCATATTTCATGAAGAATTTTATTGCTGTCTGATTTTTGCTCAGTATAGCAAACAAAATGTAATGAAAATGAAAATTTGCTTGCCTTTTGGCTCTTGAGAACATCAAAAATTGATTTTAATTGGATCTATAAGTCAAAATAGAACTGAGAATTGTTCATCAATTAAAGACACGCCCACATGGTGCTGACTTTGCGAAATACACCCATCTCAGAGATGGTCTATTTTTGGGTATTAACGTGCAGTGATAAGGCCCGTCTGCTCTTGAACTGATATCATAACGATTCGCATCGTCGGAGCACATGTGCCGTCGCAGATGCTGGGCTGTGTCCCATTTTGTCCCGCACACCCACAAGATGCTGCCAAGTTTTATTTAGTTGCTGGCCAAGTGCCAGGGCCACCGCGCTGCTGCTGCTGCTGGTGGGGCTTCTGCTGCAGTTCTTGACTGTGACGCAAGTCCGCAATTAAAGTGGCCAATATGGGAATTGGTACGGGAGGAGATGGGCTAGGCCCCCCGCCGCATATGTGCGTATTTTTAATTCCATATTTTTACTCTTTCCCCGCAGATATCTGTGTTTTCGGTGTACAAAGATTTCACAGTTGGCTCGCGCTCACCCTCAGCGCTATCCTATTGAGACGTGGCGCGAGTACCCTCAGATGGGATGTCAACTGTGGAGCGGCGACAGAAACAATAACAACAATAATAGCTAATAAAGAAATCGTACTTGTAATAGCGAAGTAAATAATGTTAGTTGAAATGTTGCTACTGGAAACGGCACACAACCATAATACCCCTGCATACACCCTTACTATACATATATATATATTTACAAAAATAATACTAAACTGCACTATACTGCTATATATACAAGGCAGTAAAGGGCAGTAAAATGCGGTACATACATTCAACTAGTTTAATGTACACACAATCGACATTCATGATATATTACCCATATAGAACTTGAGTTCATCGCTTCACGTCACTCCAATTATGCATCAAAATGCATCTAAATAGCATTAGGCTGAGAAATGAAACGGAAACAAATGTGTTTGTATGTGTAACTAAATGAAATTGCTAGATAATTATAGTTTATTTGTACGTGTAATTTAATGTAATATACCATTACCCTTATATTTATGTTTTGCAAAGCAGATGCAGAGTCAGTCGGTACTTAAGATCAGGTACTTACATCCCGTAAACCCCGTAACCCCTATATACATCGGCATTTACATGATATTGTTGTAATAAACCAAACCGAAATGTGAACAGAATTTTTAATTGTACTAAACACCGTTTTGTATTCGTATTCGTAATTGTATTTCGCGTAATCGTGTTAATGGTTAATAGTTAAGCGCGCCCAATCCTAATCTAATCCAAAGTCATTTGTATCAACGGCCTTTACTTCTCGTTTACTTTATACATCCCTTTACCAAGGGAGTTTATAAAGATATATGTATATGGAAAGTCAAGAGAGAGATGAGCAACGAAAACAATTACCACTGTACTTATTGAATATTACGATTGCCTAGGCACCCCCCCCCCAGGAAATGTATGGGAAGAGAAGACAACTATTTATGTAATCACTAAGCGTACTTACTACTGTCCACATTCATTTAATTGTTGTTGAATAAAAATTACCTTTTACCAAACGGGATGGTCTTTAAATTTGTTTTAAAAATCGTTCGATTGTTGGCGCCTTTGACCGATAGCTGCGATCGATAACACTGGCAACTCTGGCAACGCTCTTTGGGCTCGTCTCGGTCTTGGCCAGCTTTGTTTATGGCCAAATCAAATCGGACAGTTTCAAGTCTGCAGGCAAGCTCGAAGGTTTGCCATCCAAGAAAGTTTCGTTGTCTCCTGGTAAGCGGAGTTTCTCCATAATTATTTAGATTTACCCGCTTCTAGATGGATAAAAGTGCATTTAGTTGAAGTGGCCAAAACATGGCCTGGCCAAACATAGCTAGGCTAACGTAAAGTGCTTGACGGTTCGATGTCGAAATAGAGAGACGCGGAAACCAGTTCGCGGTAATTATTTTGATGCTAGTTTGACGGCTGTGTTGTAATCCCAGTTAGCCCAGCGACAACATTAGCACATTTACCCGTGTTTCTCTTTGATATTGTCGCCATTTCATTGTTGGCAGTAGATGTTGCCTTTGCGTTGTTTCTTTCGGAGTCTGGCTCTAATAAAACTTCAACTCAAAATGCACAATAGTGTTGACCGTGGCCAAGTAACACACTAAGGCGAAACTAAGAAATCGAAAGCTAGATACAATCTTTGGTTAATAAAAACCAAAATGCCAATGCTCGATGGTTTTATATTGATTTTTGGGCGATGTATTTGCCTTTTTATATTTTTAAATTGTTATATTTTATTGGGAAATTCAAATGTAACCAGATATCTATAGTTATTTGCCTAAACATAGGTTTATTTTTATTTCAATTACAATTACTAGTTTTTAAACCGTTGACCTTCGTTGTGAAGTTTGTGGTGAGTTTTAAAAAGCCTTTATTCTTTCATAATATTTTTAATAGATTTATAAAAAAATGTATTAAGTAAAAGTGACTACTTAAAATGTGAAAGTTAATTAGGGTCAAGTTTTATGGCAAACTAAAAGAGTTTATGGTTAACTATTAACTATTCGAATGGTTTTGTAAAAATAGGAATAAGGGGCACCATTTTGGTTTATTACTTTTAATATAATAACACAATACATGAATCATTATCTTTAAGATATTAATAGGGTATCGAATTTGGTATTTCCTTAATTTGTTAACTGAGAATGTAAAATATTTATTTAAAATTCTTATTATTTATGTTATGTTTTAACTTTGATTTCCCAACATATTTTAAAATATCTCAAGACAAATTCTTTATTAAACAAGTCATAATTTAAATCATAAAATTGATTTAAATAACATTAATAAACTTATTAAAATCTTTTCTTTATCTTATATTTTTTCTTATATAAAAAATCAGTCTAAAATAAATCTCTATTATCTCAAGACCTAGGTTAAAGCTCTTTTTAATTACACTTCAAAGTCAAAGTAAAAGCTAGGGCAATACTTACCACAATCAAGAATATGTAGATTACCTTAGCAGTGTCCCAGGTTAGTAATCAAGGAAATGGGGATTGCGCAAAGCATGAATTAAATGTAATATGTATGTAGATAATTCGCCACCTTTATTAGCGGGGGGCAGTGCGTCGTCACGTAAGCCGAGAGCATTTGAAAACGCGCCGAGTCATTCGGAAACCTGCTCCGCTGACCCTCGAAGAAGGTCGCCCGAGTCTTGGACTGAGGCTGACTGATGATGAGCCAGTTTATGCGGAATGGCAAGCTATGTGGCCGGGTTTATGGGGCTGCCGCAGCCGCAGCAGCAGCTGCAGACGCCGCCGGCCATAAAAGCCACTCTCACGGAAACTCGGCTTAAGTGGCCAAGCTATGATGGTAGCTATGCTAACCTGCATTCGGTCTCGTTGCAGTTAAATCAGTAAAAGCAGTGCACTTTGACCCCCCGGACGCAATGGGTGGCGGCAATACAGGCGAAGTGGTGCTCGTAACCGGCGGCAGTGGATTTCTGGGTCAGCACCTCATCAAGCAGCTGCTGGAGCGGAAGGAGGAGCTGGGCATCCGCGAGATCCGTTCGCTGGACATCGTACCGTACAAGAACAACATCGGGCATGCGGACACACCCCTGCTGCGCACCTTTGTGGGTGACATCGGCGGTGACCCCGAAACCCTAGGGCCGATCTTCGCGGGCGTTGACGGGGTTTTCCACTGTGCCGCCTCGGTGAAAATCGAGTATCCGCCCAACTACGATGAACTGGAGCGCGTGAATGTGAACGGTGAGTGAGCAGGTACTTTTCCGCCTGTGGAAACCAACTAAATCACTCTAATTTGTGATTAAGTTTTATTACCTTAAAAAAGTGCTGGCCTTTGATTTCGAAACAGTCTGGTTAAGTAGTCAAAAGGGAAATGTAAAGGAAATTTAATAGTAATGATACATAAAATGTATGACTTTCAAAGTAAAACTTTAACCTTTAACCTTAAAACCTGGGTGAAAACGTTATCTTATTATTTTAATCTTTTTTAACTAAGACAGGCTACCAAAAGATTTCTTTTCTCTTTTTAAACATTAATTTTATGGGTGGTGGTTCCACTAGTCGTATACGTATTTTTTAAAGTAATATTACGTATCCGCCTAGTGGAACCACTAAACCTGCAATAAAATCCCTAAAATTTTATATAATTTAAGGAACCCTGGCCGTGGTGGATCTGTGCATCCAAAACAATGTGAAGCGTCTGGTCTACACCAGCTGCACCTCCGTGTGCTTTGTGCCCTTCAAAGGTCGTAGCACCTTCTCGGCAGTGATTAACTCCACGGAATCCAAGACGGACACGCCCACACTGGACAGTTCCACTCTGTGGGAGCAGGACAATCAGTTCCTGATAGCTGGGTACGCCTCCAGCAAGCTGAGGGCAGAGAACATAGTGTTGAACTCGAATGGAGCACCTTTGCAGAACCAAACGGGTGAGTAGTTTTCACCTTGATCGTATAGATTTCTTTATTAAATCTCTAATCCCTTGCAGAGTATTTGGCCACCAGCGCCATTCGTGCACCGCTGACCTACGGCGAGTGCGATTCCCATTTCATCACAAAGATCTTCGACTACCTGTCGACCCGGAGCTGGGTTTTTCCACGAATTGCAGGCGTAGGAGGCAAGCAACAGTTAGTTTACGCCGGAAATGTGGCCCATGGACACATCTGCGCTTACCAGGCTTTAAAGATATCCAACAAGGCGGTCAATGGACTCCCAGTCTTTGTCACCGACGACACGGGCATCAATGATGTCTCACGGTTTGTCCAGAAGATGGCCGTGCTTGGGGAACGGTTCAAGGTGAAGACCAGCTGGTGGTACATTCCACACTTCCTGTTCTTCTTCCTGGCCTTCCTGCTGGAGGTGGTGGTGCGTATTGCATATCCCTATACCAAGTACCGTCTGCCCTACTCTCTGCGCGCCATCGCCTCCTACACGTCATCGATGCTGATGTACAATCGCCTGCGCGCCTCCATCCACATGGACTACATGCCGCTCTTCGATCCGGACACGAGTGCCGAGCGGAGTGCCAAATGGTATGCCAGGTGGTGGGATGAGCACAAGGAGGCCAGGAAGCTGAAGAAGTCCAGCTGAGCTGAGTTGAGTGGCGCTAATCCTGCATTATGCACTCCAAGTGTACGTTTCGATATCGTAAGTGGATTTGTATTTACTGCCCCGCTTGATGTCCTGTAAATATCCTGTTGAATAAAATGGTTGTTGTTTGTTGAACGAGGTCGTGTTTGTATTCCTTTCCTTTATTTGGAAAAGAGTTCAAAGGCAAGGTCAAATTATGTTTGCTTTGGTGGAAATCGAATGCCTTAATTAAATTAAATTTAGTTTGCTGCAAAATGAAACTGAAAGTGTGTCCTCCCATAATCCCCTTCATAACCCAATTAAAAAGAAACACTTGGACTGCATATGTTTTTGAACAATGTTCATATTGGTTTATTTATCATTATGAATTAATTTATTTATTTCTCAGTTATTTCATTATAATTTTTATTATATATATATATATATATATTTGTTTGTCTTGGTTTTTTCCTTTCTTGTTTTTGTTCTTCTTGGTTGTTGTTTTTGGTTTTTTTTTGTTGCTCTAGAGCATTTCTTTCTGCCGTTTGTTTTTTAAACTTATGTACCATTAGCTTAACTTATTATGCCATTATTTAATTTCATTTTTGTTTAAAATCATGTTTTTAGTTTTCTGTTCATTTTGTTTTTCGCTTTTTGTTTCCTCCCTTCCCCTGCACTTCTTTCTCTCTATCTCTTATTCATCTTCTGTATTGGTTTAATATGCGGTTTGCTGCTGCTGCTCTTGCTGATTCTGCCGATTTTTATTGGGCGATCTTAGCCCGATCGAGGGTTATAGTACGATACGATACGATACGATACGAGTGTGTATATACCCAAGAATCTCCCATCGCTCCCTGTACGTGGCACATTGTGAACAAAGTGATTTTTAATTTGCTGCTAAAGTTGTTCGCATTCATCTTGTTTTTGTTGTTGCATATACATATTGCGGACAGTGTGTGTAATGGGGGGTTGTGGGTGTATGTGTGTGTGTCTATGGTGTGTGTGCTGTGTGTATGGTGAAGTGTTAAAAAATTCGGACTGCAAAAGAGCAATACCTTGCTGGCCTTTTGTCGTCTTTTTAATAAATGTTGCTCTTGGCT